GCTGATAGTCATTTGGGTTGTCTCAAGTTTTTGGCAATTATCAGTAAAGCTGTTAGGAACATTCTTATTCATGTCTTCTGGTAAGCATAAGCACTTTTTTCTGTTTCATGTTACGGAAAGAGTGAAATTGCTGGATTTTAATGTGTGTGTATGTGTACTTGTGTGTGTGTGTGTGTTTATATGTATAATATATACACACATATATGTTCAGCTTTAATTATTATTGCCAAACATATTCCAAAGTGTTTGTGCCAGTTTATGCTCCTATCGCAAACCGTGTGGTGGTAGTGTTCAGTCGTGTCTGACTCTTTGCCACCCGATGGACTGTGGCCCTCCAGGCTCCTCTGTCCATGGGATTCTCCAGACAGGAATACTGGAGTGGGTTGCCATTTCTTCTCCAGGGGATCTTCCCAACCCAGGGATCAGACCCACGTCTCCTGCATTTCCTGCATTGGCAGGTGGGTTCTTTACCACTAAGTCACCTGGGAAGCATCAGCAACTATGAGGAGTTCAAATCTGTATCCTTATCAATGTTTACTAATTTCAACTTCACAATTTTAGCCATTCTAGTGGGTGTGTAATATATTGTGGTTTTAATTTGCTTTTGCCTCATTGCTAATAGTGTTAATCTCCTTTTTGTTATTTAGATATACTCTTCTGTGAATTGTCTGTTCAAGTTTTTTTTTCTATTGATTTGTACAAGTTCTTTATATATTTTGGATATGATTTTTTTGTTAGATATATGTATAGGAAATATATTCTCCCAGTATGTGGCTTGCCTTTAGACTCTTAACAGTGCCATTTAATGAAAAAAGATAATTTTAATATTTATTTTTAATTGAAATATAATTGCTTTACAGAATTTTGTTGTTTCCTATCAAACATCAACATGAATCGGCCATAAGTAAAAATTGCATAATAAAATGCAATTTATCAATCTTTTTATGATGAGTTATTTTCATGACTTCTATTTTTCCCAGGAATGTGGTTGATTTAGGGAGAAGTAGGCTTGGTGGGACCCTGTGGAACATTGCTAAATCCACATATACCCATGTACCAATGTTGTTGAAAATTTCAAGCATAGGTTTTGTGGATCTATTGGATGTGCACAGGGGGGCATGACAATATTCTTTGATTTTCTACTAAAAGCTTTATTGTTTTACCTTCCATATTTAGGTCTCTGGTCCATTTTGAGCTGATTTTTACTTAAGGCATGAGGTAAGAGTTAAGGTTTATTTTTTGCCATACAGTTGCTTCAGCATCATTTATTATTAATATTAAAAAGACCACACCCCCTAACTGAATTATAGTGGTATCTTTGCAGAAATCAAGTGACTGTAAATGTGTGGATTTGTTTCTAGACTCTTTATTCTGTTCCACTGGACTTATTCTTCATCCTTGGACCCATGGGGCGCTGTCTTAACTAATGAAATGTTATATGAAGTCTTGTAATTTGATAGTGTTAAGTGCCGCAGTTTGTTGCCTTTCTTCAAGATTGTCTCGGCTAATGTAGGTCTTTTGCCATGTTATAAATTTCCATAATAATATCAGAAATAACTTGTAAACTTCTGTAAAAAAATGCTTTAATTTTGATCTGGATTCACTGAGTCTACAGATCAAGCTGGAAAGAACAGGCTTCTTAACTATTTTGAATCTTCCACTTCATGATAATCGTGTGTATATTTATTCCATTTAAGTCTTTTATCTCAACAATGTTTGTCTTCACTATAGAAATTTGGCTTATATTTCATACATAAATTCCTTGATATTTGATGTTTTGATGCTATTATATTTTATTGTTGCCCATTGTTTGTTGCTAGTATAAAGAAATACATTAGATCTCTACTGACCTTGTACTCTGTGACCTTGCTAAACTCACTTGTAAATTCTAGTAGTTTGTAAAATACTTTGCATTATCTACATAGAAAACTTGATATCTATAAGTAAGATAATTTGCTTCTTTATTTCTAATCTCTATGTTTTAGTTTCTTTTCCTTGCTTTTTATTGGATGGGTTAGAACACTTCAGTGTTCTAGTCAACACTGTTGAATACAAACATGATGATGAATATGTATGTCTTGTTCCTGACCTCAGTAGGAAAATGTTTAATATTTCACTGTTAAGTACAATATTAGCTATAGGTGTTTATTTAAAAAGATACTCCTTGTTTGCTAAGAGCTTTATCATATTGCTATAAATTTTTATCACAGTATTGAATTTTAGCAAATGCTGTATCTATTAAGATGATCATATGAGCTACCACCCATGTTCTGTTCACTATACCCTTAATTTTTTTGTTTTGAGACAACTGCAGATTCACATGCAATTGTAGAAAATAATACAAACAGATCACACAGGCTTTTTCTCCATTTTCCCTCAAAATAAGCATTTTTTTTCAAAATTTAGTACAATGTCACAACCAAGGGACTGACATTGATCTCATGTTTCCACTCTGATTTCTGAATATTGAATCAACCTTCCTTTCTTTATTCATAAAATATTATGTATTATTATATATTGCTAGATTCAATAAACTAATATTTTGTGAATGATTTTGTATCTATATTCATGAGAAATATTGGCCTTTAATTTTCTTTTCCTGAAATGATATTGCCAGCTTTTGATATTAGGATTATAGTGACCCCATAGAATATTTTGGAAGTGTTTCTTTTTTCTTCATTCTCTGAAAGATTTTATGTATGTTTGGTATTATGTCTTTCTGAAATGTTTGGAAAAATTCACCAGTAAAGCAAGCCAGCTGGCTTTGAAAAAATTTAAAATATAGATTTGATTTGTTAAAACAGATCAAGGCCTACTTAGAATTTTTACTTTGTCCTGTTTTTCAAGAATGTTTCCATTTAATGTAAATTGTCAAATTTATTGGGAAAGTTTTTTTTTTCCCCTTAATTTCTTTTTGACTTTTTAATAATGTCTGTAATCCTGTAGTGATGTCTTTTTTTTTTTTTCATTTATTTTCTCTCTTTTTTGGTTAGTCTTACTGGTGGTTATCAGTTTTAATTAACCCTTTTGGCTTTGTTGATTTTCTCTTTTATACATCTACTTTCTATATAGTTAATTTCTGCCCTTTATTTCCTTTCTTCTTTCTTTAGGTTTATTGTTGCTGCTTTTTTTTTTTTTTTTAAGATTTCTGAAATAAAGGAATAGAGGATTGAACTTTCAGCCTTTCTTATTTTTAATATATAAACTTAAGCTCCGGGAGTTGATGATAGACAGGGAAGCCTGGCAAGCTGTAGTCCATGGGGTTGCAAAGAGCCAGACATGACTGAGCAACTGAACTGAACTGAACTAAGGTTATAAATTTCCCTTTAAACAACACTTACCTGGTTTTACAAGTTTTGATGTCATATTTTTCATTATAATGAAAAGTATTTTTCCTTGTGATTTCTTCTTTCACCTATAGCTTTTTCAGAAGTATCTTGCTTACTTGAAAATTATAGATTTTTGTTATTGTTGTTGTGTTAGTTATTTTCTACTGTGGTTAGAGAACTGTTCACGCATTTCAACTTTTTGAATATTTGTTGCCACTTTATGGCCCAGGATACAGTCTATTTTTGTAAATATTTTCCGTACATTTGAAAATATATGTATTCTACAGTTGTTCAACTTTTTAAATCCTTCATGATTTGGGTGTTTTTTGTTTTTGTCTATTAGTTACTGAGAGAGGTGTGGTAAGATCTTCAAGTCTGACTTGGAATTTGTTTCTGCCTTTTTGGTTTTTTATTTTGGTAAAATATACATAGCATAAGGTTTACCATATCGCTTTTTAGTTTGGTAAATTTGGCTTTATATATTTTGAAATTATTTTATTATTTACAATTGTTGTGTCATCCTGATGAATTAATCTGCTTATTATCATGACATATTTTGCTTCATTTTCTCTTTTACCTTAAAGTCTATTCTAATAGTTTAGTCATACCACCTTCCTTTTGGTTAATGTTTGGTCAATCTATCTGTGGCCTTATATGTAAAAGGTGTTTCTTATAAAAAGCTTTACAAGTAGAACTAGATTTAAAGTGAAATGCCAGTGTCAAATTCAGGTACAGTCAGTGTCCTTGCCTTGTGGTACCAATAACAAGGAAGTGATGATGGTCTTGGAAGGGGACTCAGTTTAGATTTTATATTGCTGATAGGAGAGGGACTTCCCTATTTTTTTAAAGCCTTTTTTCTCTTTATGTTTATTGTTGGCTGCACTGGTCTTGGTCGCTGGCTTTTCCCCCGTGGTGAGCGGGGGCTGTGCTCTCGGTGCGGTGTGCTGGCTTCTCGTTGCAGATAACCGCTTGAGCACATGGGCTTCACATGTGTGAACCACAGCTGTGGTTCAGGGCTCGAGAGCACAAGCTCAGTAGCTGTGGCACACGGGCCCAACAGCTCCGCAGCCTGTGGGACCTTCCCCGGCCAAGGATCGAACTTCTGTCCCCTGCATTGCAAGGCGGAGTCTTAACCACTGGACCACCAGGGAAGCCCTGGACCTCCCTACTGATGGAAAATTTCTACAAAACAAATAACCATTCTCAAATGGGTTTCTCAAATGTTTGATATTCATTATAAATCGTCTCAGGGTAAAGAAGAGTGGACTTGAACTGTGGACTGGCTATCATCCAGCACCCTCAGAGAGAAAGATGTATAGTCAGTGCTACACAAACCTCTGAATTTTCCTCAGAAGATTTCTAATTGAACTATTTCATATGGGTATCCTAGATCAACCAGTAAATGTCTAAGTGGTAAGCACCCTAGGGGACCATCTTGGTACACTGTTACACTCCTGAACACTTGAAATATGTAGTGTACTTTCACTTTTGTCACTCAGGCCATGCAAGTAAATGAATAGCTGAATACTCAGAATTTTGATTTTAACTGTAATTATGACCTTTAGAAATATTCACTGCTTTAAAAATGGACCAAAGTGTAAATAAAACGGGCAACTGATACACCTCAGTTCCCAAAAGAAAAGTACAGGAAGTTGTTTTCACTTTTCAGTTTTAGAGAAAAGACTTCATCATTTTATACGTGATGTGGCTTTCTGGACTCCTGACATCCTCATAGAATTTGACTGGAGTTTCCTTCTCTTGGAAGTGGATGGGCATTTTCTTGCTCTCCACAGTCATGAGCTTCACTTCCAGGGGGCCCAGGTTTACATAATCCTGTGGTGAACGGACACAGAGGAGACAGGAGAGGTTATTTAGCAAGTTACCAGCCTTTGGAGGTTGGGTTTTATTTATTATAGCTGGCCTTTATCTGGCAGATTACACTGTGTCCTAATTGTCTGAATGCTGCCTAACATGTGAAAAATGAGAGCTACTGTAAATAAAAAACTCAGTAAACATATATACCCACTGGGTCATGGTAGGCAAGATCCCCCAAAGAGCAGGCAGCAAGGCTAGCAGGTTTGTGTCTTGGGGACTTGGGCAGTGGGTCGGGGTGGCGGAAGGGCTGGGGGAGTTGGGAGGCAGCAATGGCGTAGGGAGCTATATCCTCTGCAAGCTCTTTAATCGGTGAAATGAAGTATTGACTGCGTTTATACAGCCCTCTGCTGTCCAGGATATAACCACAGCAGAGTTTTCTATATTATTCATGACCAAAGGGAAAGATCTGCTAACATCTTTGACAATGAACATGTTAATACTGAGCAAATCCACATGAGTTTTACACATTTCACAGGATCTACTATAGGTATAAAACCTACCACATTCTGCCAAACTAAATATAGTTTAACATATCAACAAACAGAATGGGAAGTCTAATTTATATGAAATCCCACAGCTTGGTGGGGAGGTGGTGGGGGTGGGCAAGAGTACCGGAGTGGGTTGCCATTCCCTTCTCCAGGAGATCTTCCTGACCCAGGGATCGAACCCAGGTCTCCCACCCTGTAGGCAGACGCCTTACCCCCTGAGCCACCAGGGAAGTCAGCCTATATGAAATCCCACAGCTAACCCCAAACTGGGTTGAAACAGCTCCAGCCCTGTTCAATGAGCGCCTTCCTTTTGAAAGCTTCTCCAAGTCAGGCCTCCTCCTTTTGAACTCCTCCAACACTTCAGCAAACCTTTCCGGAGTGCCCACTGTGTGCCAGGCGCAAGGCTGGTCACGCAGACAGACCGAGGTCTACACTCCTCCTGAGAGCTGTCAGTGACTGTCTTACCTGCTTTCTACTGGCAACACATGATCTAGAGTGGGGCCTGCCACACAGGCACCTTGAGACTATACTCCTTCCTGTTCTCCCCTTTAAATTCTCAAGCATCTCACAAGTCCCTGGCATGTTGTGAGGTTATCAACAGACATTTATAAAAACTTGGGAGAATCAAAGAATGGAAAAGGAAGACAATGTTTTAGTTCTCAAAAATGCATATAACTGTATTTAACTTTTAAAATACACAATTCTAGAGCTGCAATAAATGCATGAGAGAAGAAAAGCAAATTAATGGAAATCTACCATATATTTCAGAACCATCTAGAGCAGGATTCTGAAGTGAAACCCTGTGTTAGTCTGCTTGGGCTGCCATAGCAAAATACCATAGGCTGACCGGCTGAAACAGCAGGACTCTATTTCTCACTGTCCTGGAGGCTGAAAGTCCAAGGTCAGGGGGCCGGCATGATTGGGGTCTGGTGAGAGCCCCGTCCTGACTTGCAGATGGCTGCCTTCTCACAGTGTCTCACAAAGCAAAACCTCTTATAAGGATCACAGTCCTATCAAATTAGGACCTTTATGACCTCATATAACCTTAATTACCTCCTAAAGCCCCCATCTCTAGATACAGTCACAATAGAAGTTAGGGATTTCAACATATGAATAGGAGTTGGGGGCAGGAACATAGCTGAGTCCATAGCAATACAATACCATTCCACCACATCAAAAACTTCCATGGAAAGTAAGAAGGTCTTAGAAGAGAACATAAGCAAAACATTCCCTGACATAAATTGTACCAGTATTTTCTTAGGTCAGTCTCCCAAGGCAATAGAAATAAAGATGAAAATAAACAAATGGGACTTCAACTTACAAGCTTCTGCACAGCAAAGGAAGCCATAAACAAAAAGCCTGAAGAATGGGAGAAAATATTTGCAAATGATGTGACTGACAGGGGCTTAATTTCCAAAATATACAAACAGCTCATACAACACGACAACAAAAAAATGAAACAACCCAATCAAAAAGTGGGCAGAAGACCTAAAGAGACATTTCTCCAAAGAAGAAATACAGATGGTCAATAGACACATGAGAAGATACTCAACAATGCTAATTATTAGGGAAATGCAAATCAAAACTATAACAAGGTACCACCTCACACCAGTCAGAATGGCCATCGTTAAAAAGTCTACAAATAGCAAATGCTGGAGAAGGTGTGGAGAAAAGGGAACCCTCCTACACTGTTGGTAGGAATGTAAGTTGGTGCAGCCACTGTGGAAAACAGTATGGAGGTTCCCCAGAAAACTAAAAATAGAATTATCATATGATCCAGCAAATCCCACTCCGGAGCATATATCCAGACAAAACTATAATTCAGAAAGATACATGCACCCCTATGTTCATAGCAGCAATATTCACAGTAGCAGAATACATGGAAACAGCCTAAATGTCCATCAACAGAGAAATAGATATAGAAGATATGGTACATGTATACAATGGAATACTACTCAGTCATGAAAAAGAACAAAATAATACCATTTGCAGCAACATGGATGCAACTAGAGATTATCATATTAACACTTAGTGAAGTAAGCCAGAAAGAGAAAGGCAAGTACCATATGATATCATTTATACATGGAATCTAAAATACGACCCAAATGAACCTACCTATGAAACGGAAACAAAATCAGGGACATAGAGAATAGACCGGTGGCTGCCAAGGGGGTGAGGGGTGGCAGAGAGGGCAGGAAGGGGAATTTTGGGTTAGCACATGCAAACTGGCATGTATATATAGAATGAATAAGGAACAAGGTCCTACTGTATAGTAAAGGGAACTATATTAATATCCTGTGATAAACCATAATGGAAAAGAATATGGAAAAGAACATATCTATGTCTGTCACATTATTGCATAGCAGCAGTGAACACAATGTTGGAATTCAACTTTGCTTAAATAAAAAATGAATTTAGAAAAATAAATTCAATGGATAAAGGCAAAAATAAAAGTAAAAAGGTCTTTCACTCAACCAAATGGTGTGAAATTTTGGGATTTTGTAGACAGTTGTCCCCTGGTGTGAGGTCACTGTAACACACCAGGTGTCCTGATACCAAAATATCCATGTGGGTGTTTGAGTTCTATAGAGTCTGGAACCTTCATCTTTAAATTGTCACTTGATGGTAGCAGGACTGAGTTGTACTTAGTTAAAATGGTCTTTATTGACTTATTCAGTTTCTTCTGCTTTCTTAATCACTCTTTCTCCTATCAGACTTTAAGTTCGAGGACAACTTTTAAGGTTATTGGTAGTACCAAGAAGGAAAACAGCAAGAGGTGGCTATGAAAGTGACTGGAAGGTACAAAGGTTTTAAAATTAAAAGGCTTGATAATCCAGGTTGTGCCTAATGGTGTTATGTGGCCATTTGTACTTTCCAAAGATGGTCACACTGATATATATCCTATCCCATGCTTTTCTTAAAATATGATGCTGACCTTCTTCTTTCAAGATGCAGGAGCTATGTTATTTCCCTTTGGGTGGAAATTTGTAGCTACACCAACAGATAGAAAATGATGGACGTGCTGGCGTAAGATTTCTACCTCATAGGAAGCATTTGGTCTCTGGGACTGATGGCTTGGGGGAAGCCAGATACTATAACAAAGGGACAATAAAGGAGACCCGCGTCTGTGAAGAGACCCGGAGAGGAACTGAGGCCCAAGCTTCACCAGCATTGCCTGGCCAGCCAGGTCAGCGAGCCACCTCAGGAGTGGATCTTCCTGCCCAAATCGAGCCTTCAGCCAGCATGCGGCGCGCCTGCCATGGAACCCAAGTGAAGACGGCCCACGGAAGACCTGTCCAAACTCCTAACCGACAGAAGCCTTGAGAGAGAATAAATGGTTATTGTTGTGACCCACTGAGTCTTGAGGTAGTTGTTACGTAGCCCTAGATATACTGCCTTACGTGGTGCGCTAGTAATGGAGTTCTATCCGTACATACATGTAGCAAGCTGGGCAAAGGTATGCGTGAAAATAGTATCTAGCGACAGGCGTGAATGGCGGCCGCTTTTACTAATTCGTGCAAATAGAACTTTTCAGTATCTGTATTTTCGGTTAATTTTCTCCACTAATTAATAAGACAACATTTTCTCTAGCAGTCAAGATGTCTTCTCATGAATCTTACCTTGAAATCCTGCTCATCCTCATACAGTAAGTATTTCATATCAGAGGCCCCAAACTCTATTCTTGAGCTCTCTTTTTCATCTATCTCCAGAAGCTGGCCCAATCTGCTGTCCTTGTAACTAAGACGAAAACCACTGCTCCCAAATGAGATGCTCGATATGTCTCTGCTTTTTATGTCTGTAGGTTGTGATTCTGACTTTTCTGGGATGACTGCAAAGAAATTAATTGGGTACAACTTTTGGACAGATAAAAATAAAAATATAGTATATACTTTGTGACATTTTGAATTTGAAAGCCCTTTGAGAATCTCTGGGAAGAGATGAATTTGAGAATTAGAAATGTAGAATCGAGGTATCAGAGTGAAAGTGAGTCCCATTGTTAGCAACCATGTCTAAGGTGCATTTCCCTGTGCCAGCTAATAAGTTAACATAATCGTATGGGGGTCTGTGAGTATGCTGGCATTTTGGTTGGTTGGCTGAACTGAAGTGCAAACTGTGCTGGTATAGACATCATCCTGTCCCTCTTTACCAGCTTCTAGTTCATTCACTGTGACACACGGTGACTTCGACTTGAAAACAGGGCTAGGAAAAGGAGATGGGTTGGGTCAGCTCTGCAAGGACAAGAGGAAGGTGGAGGAGCTGGCAGGTATCTACCCCCTGAATCGCTCTCAGCTATGAGGTGCCTGTCCATAATAAGAAGCTCAATAAGTGTTTGCCAAATTAAAAACAAAAATCACCATTACAGTAAAATAATACCTTTATGTGTTTCTGACAATTCCAAAGGCACTTCAGGTGGTACTTCCTGCCCGACAGCTTGGGTAAGATACAGTCGCCTAAAAACAAATAAGAAAAGTAGTCTGTCAGCCAACAAATGTTGTAGCCCCTGCTCAATAGTGTCTATCTCTCTGCTGGGAGCTGGAGATGCACAGATGAAAAAGGGGCGTCGGGCCCAGTGGGGTGGCAGACAAGATTACAGCGTTTTATGATGATAGTTTGTCCCAGGATGGGTAATTAGCAGTGTCAGGAGTGCTGTGGTCTTCCCATGTGGTACAGAAGTGAAGAATCTGCCTACAGATGCAGGAGATGCAAGAGATGTGGGCTCGATCCCTGGGTCGGGAAGATCCTCTGAGGGAAGAAATAGCTGCTGACTCCAGTACTCTTGCCTGAGAATTCCCATGGACAGAGGAACCCGGTGGGCTACAGTCCACGGGGTCAAAAAGACAAGACTGAGGGAGAGTGCGCGTGCGTATGCGCGCGTGCACACACACAGGTGAGGGAAGAAGCACCAGATTTCGTCTTAGGAGGTAAGGAAAGGTTTCTAGGAGATGACACCTGAGTTGAGTCCTGAAACACCAAGAGATATTTGCCAAGGAAGAGCTTGGGGTAGGGGGTGCGTCCCATGATAAAGGGAATAACAGACAAAGTGCGAGAAATGAGAGTGATCACAGCACCAGTTACATCACTGTTGCAGGAATCCAGATGAGGAATGACGGTGGCTAGCATGGGATGGATTTGAAAAAAAAAAAAAGAGAAAAAGTCAGGACAGTGAGCAGTAGGAATCCAAGATGACGCCACGGTTCTGGCTTTCACTGAGTGGCGTGTTCCGGCTACGAGCCCAGTGAGTTGTGCATGTGCTATTGTAGCTCTCTGTGCTGCGGAGGCCCTTGGAGTTTTCCGTCAGAAGACACGACACCTTGAAAGCTGTGTGTGGCATTTCCATGAAGTTTGCCTGAAGATCGCATGAACCAAGTGACCCTTGCAGATATGCTAACAACCGTTCATGCTCAGCCAGCCAGCATCCAGAGTGAATCCCCAGGATTACAGGCTGTTGGTTTCTTAAAGCACACGAACAAAGTGTCATCCGAGATGCTTACAGCTCCAACAAATCATGTCACTGCATACAGTAGTTATATCTTAAAACCGTCTTAAGATTGGTGAAGGTGTGTCTCAGTGAAGCTCTGGTCTGCAGGTGGTCAAGTCTGAGGCCACAGAGTTCTCTTCTTTCCTGGTTTTGGCCTCTTGAATGACTAAGAGCTTACTAAACACTGTGACCTTCACGAGTCTCTTAATCATGGGTTTATTGTCACTTTTGGACCACCAACAGGGCAGCAGCGCTTGGTATTTGATGATGCAGAAAATATGTTAAAGAATGCCATCATATGAAACTAGTGTTAGATAGATTTGAGGTACTGGTTCCCCAAGACTCAGCTCTGTGGCACTGAAGTCCCTGGGCAGTCCCCTCTAGCTTACTCATCTCATCTAACGTTTCAAACAAATCCTGCAATGCCTTACTGGAGTCATGAAAGAAAGCATTGAGGGAGGTCTGGATGGGAAATAGAGGATTAATAACTCTGTTATCTAGAATACCCGATTCTTCATCCAAATAGGAAAGAAGAGAACTTTTTACATGTTCACTGGGTACAGTTCATGTCTATTTCTCAACTAGAATAGACAGGACTAAATTCTCAACAAAGAGGTGGAATGGACAGTTGTCATAAATTGCATACTATGTGTTATTTTGACTTGAAAACAGGTACAGTAAAAGTTCCTGAGGACACTCAACATTTTCCTTCTGGATAAGCAGTGTAACAGATAACTGAGGGTTTGCACATATCTCTGTTTCTTTATGTGGGTCTTTCTAAAATGTCCTAAACACTTGTCTCGAAGGAATTTACAGTCTAGAGGGAAGCAGATGTTAAGTAAATAATCACTAGTGTGATAAATGCTAGTTACAAAGGAAAAGTTCAGGGTGTCTTGGAGGCACCGGGCACCTTTTAAACACAGTCTGTGTTGTTTCTTTCCCGTCAGACAGAGTTTGATTTCATCTCTCCCAACTCTGAAGCAAGACTAAGCACTCATATCTCCCACTAAAGAAAACCTGCCCACAAGGCGTGGATGAACAATGTGGGTTTTACTGAAGATTTCCGTGAGGGAAGCTAGAGGACAGGGCTAAATGACATCACAACAAAGCACACACCTTCACAGAAGTCCTCTTTAAAACTTGCTCACCTCCCTTCCTGTCCTTGCCAAACTCTCTGTATCCCGGGAAGGAATTCCCCTTCATTATAATGAACATTTCACTTGCACATCAGCACCGAATTGGGAACAACAGACCGAGCTGACCGAAGCAGGAAGTGAGGTCAGCAGTTTACAGGGTAGCTCTTTCTGGAGGTTTGGGTGGTTTGGAAGAGGGAAAAAGGAGCAGAGTGGGCACCAGGTGGAGCGGTGGTTAGAAGGCCTGGCTGGCAGAGATGCGTGATTACAAAGAGATGCAGGCAGCAGGTGCTCCGTGACAGAGGCTGGCTGGGCGTGGAACTGGAGAGGTGTCATAGGGAGGGAGGCTGGCAAAAGACAGCATTGCCTCTGGGGGGACAGTGAGGCCCCCTGCACCCTAAGGGCCCTTAAAGGCATCAGTTCAAGAGCCGGAAGTTCAGGAGTCCTGCAGGAAGTCAATTCATTCAGCCCGATCGCCCACTTCGCCTACACTGGTACCTGCTGCCCCGGGGCAGCACAGAGATTGTGGAAGGGACCAGGAGACTCCGTCTCTGTCCTGCCCACCCAGGGTTCAGGCTATGAAGTCATCCTACTGTCTTCCAACTTCTCCAGTCTTGTATCTTGACACCCATCATTTAGCTCAGCAAAAAAAAAAAAAGAAAAACAACAACCCACAACTTACCCATATCCACCCTTCCTGGAACACATTAGGAAGTTTGCCATCAATAAATACTTCACTGGGTCTCAAACAGTACTTTTTCCACGCCACACAAACAACAGAACTACTTGGGTGTAAATGTTTTCCTGGGCCTTCCACTGTGTTGAACTTCTCTGCCCAGACCCAGATAGTTTTCTCCCATCTTGCACATGTACATCCTACATTCGAGTGGTTTAATTCCTCTATCTTTCTAAGCATGTTTTTGTTCAAATTGTGAATGCCACTTTGTTTTAATTCCATATTGTATGTGTGTTCAGTCACTCAGTTGTGTCCGACTCCTTGCAGCCCCATGGGCTGTAGACTGCCAGGCTCCTCTGCCCATGGAATTTTTCAGGCAAGAATACTGGAGTGCGTTGCCATTTCCTCCTCTAGGGGATCTTCCCAATTCAGGGATTAAACCCGCATCTCTTGCGTCTCCTGCATTGGCAGGTGGATTCTTGACCACAAACGCTACCTGGGAAGCCCAATTCTGTATTCCAGGGCTCTGATTTTCCATCAAGACTGGTATATTAAGACTTATTTTGTCAGATAAGAAAAAGAGGTAATCTAAAAGGCAAAGCCATATACACATTTGATTTCACTTCAGTTAGTTCAGTTCAGTCGTTCAGTTGTGTCTGACTCTCTGCGACCCCATGAATCGCAGCACGTCAGGCCTCCCTGTCCATCACCAACTCCCGGACTCCACCCAAACCCATGTTCATCGAGTCGGTGATGCCATCCAACTATCTCATCCTCTGTCGTCCCCTTCTCCTCCTGCCCTCAATCTTTCCCAGCATCAGGGTCTTTTCAAATGAGTCTGCTCTTCGCATCAGGTGGCCAAATTATTGGAGTTTCACTTATGCACGAATAAATGTGACTTGGAATGCCAGGCTATTTTCTACGCCTAGAAGGTAGCTTGGCTCTTCCATTAACTGTCAGAGGAAACCGTGCTATAGTCTACAGGTAACCAGAAGTCCCAAACACCTCCCGAAAGCACCCTCAAAGTTTGCCTTGTAGCAATGGTCAATTGTGATAAACTTATAGTTTCCCCATGGCCATTTTGTGAGTATCTTTCTTTTCAACTATTAAAGAATTGTAATCTTTAAAAAAAATAACTTTTCACAGATACAGATGTTTAAAACAATATTTCTAGCTACGTAATGACTCTCACCTGGGTATCTTGAGATCCACAAGTCTGCAGTTGAATAGCTGATCAATAAGCACCAAATTTTCTTCTTCCAGCTCATGAATACCTTTTTCCAGTTCTTCCACTTCCTTCCTGCTATTTGCAATCTATTCTCAGGAAAAGGAGAATGGGTGTTAGTTTTCCACAAGAAATTTAACTTTAAAAAGTGCATTTGATGGGGGGGAAGATCTATCCTGTGTTATTTTTTTACTGTGTTTGTTCTAAAAAGGAAGGGATGGGACTTCCTTCCAAGACATTTTAGGCAGAACTTGGTTTCCTGATTAGGCAGTTACTACTGAATGGCAAAAATTCCTTTCCTACTCTTCAGGAACATCACTGGATTTATGTGTGCTGGAGGCAGAGATAAATAAGAAAATAAGACTAATTTATCAGTCTGGTATTAGTACTTAAATGAGGCTCTATCAAAGGTTAATGACAAACAACACAATGACAATTAATAGCACTGGGGGAAAAAAAAATCTATATTATGGCATTAAAAAAAAAAGTACAAGCCTAGGAGTCCTTTCTATCAACCTCTATATGACAACTATATTCTCTCTGAGTGTGCTGGAGTCATTCTGAGAAATATCAGATAGATGAGACGTTATTCATTCATTCATGAAATTGTACTGTATACCTACATTGCATCAAAACTATAGTGCGCTCTGGGAACAATGGATCAACAAGACACAATAATCTTCAGGGGTCTCTTAGCTTAGTGGGGAGGAGAGTGATAGCAACAGAGGACAGAATGATACAGTATGATACTGGAAGCCACTGGGGGCGCTGGGAGCGGGGCAAGTTCTGCCCTATGTCTGCCAGGTGGGGGCTGAGGGGGAATTAATGGAAGGGGTGACCTCCATTCTGGATCCTGAAGGCCAGGAAGGGATTCTCTAGCCAGACGAGGGAGGATATATTCTAGGCAGAAGGAACCACACGTATTAGGCACCACTATGTTGCTGTGGATAGAAACAAAATGGGTGTGGGAACAAGTAGGAGAGGAACTGGACAAATATGGGAGCCAAATAATGCGAAGTAGTCTGATTTTTATCTCGCAGGTTAGACAGTAGGTCCATTCATAGACATAGCAGGGTTAATTAACTTTAACTGCAGAAACATGGCCAACTCAAACATGAACACAACTTGCTGGTTCTGCTGATACGCGTTCCCATCAGTCTTTAAGAAATGTATTTTGATAATTTTTTGCCTAAATAAGACTTGATCATGGGGAGAATATATGGAAGAATGTTACCAGATAGAACCCCCAACTTACCTCTCTGCCCCCCAAAACAGCATTAGCTATGCAGGTGCTAGATTGAGTGGTGCTAATGGGTAGAAGTCAGGGTAATAGAAGAATTAAGAGTATAAAATAGAAAGTGATCAGCTGGTGAGAATGATAGAAAGATAGCTGGGAAAGGTACTGTGTCTCTTGAGGGAACATGAGGAAATAAGAAAGGCACAGGGGAGGGGTATGCATTATCTCTTGTTAGGAGTTGCCGAGAGTGTAACTGAGATGAATACTTAGAGATGACTAACACATTTTTGACTTGCAGTTGAAGTTACTGTATTTTGGAAGCATTCAGTATATTACCACATGCATATCTCTTTCATATAAGTCATTAAATGCTTGAATTCTTACTAAGGGTAAATTCTTGCTTGAGGTAGATGGATACAAAATTCAAAAAAGCATGGTTCCTTCCCTCAAAATAGGAAAGAAATCTACAAATCTAGTGAACAAATACATAAACAATTATAAAACAATACCAGTGTCATAGAAAAGGCTTAAAGATGAAAAGGTAACCAATTTCATGAGACAATTTAAGTCCATAACTCTACATTACCAAGTTAGCAGTTGGTGTTTTAGGATCTCATATTTTATGAGATTATCAGCTTGATATAAGCCTGAATGCCTTAAGGAAAAATTTATAATTTTCAAATGTCAAAAGATGAGAAAGAAACTATAGTTAGAGGTTGTAAAAGAAGGAATGAATCGAGTGTTTGGAAAAGTTTGACCTCAGGGCTTGGCATAACTGGGAAGCAGCATGCATAGTTCTTGGTCTTCTGGCAAGAAGGGAATGAGGGCCCTTTGGGGGAGTTAAGCCCAATCTTTCAAGCTACAGATAACCTGTGACATCCCTTATGCCTTTAGAGTACTAAGTGAGGTTCTCAATTGTCTCCCTCTCAATCTTCTGAAATGTTAGGGAAATGAAAGCAAATTCCCTTTTTACAGCCATGTCAATACCTTTAGATTCTGCGGTAAGGGTCTTAACTGGTGGCTCAGATGGTAAAGAATCCACCTGCAAAGCAGGAGACCCAGGTTTCATCCCTGGGTTGGAAAGATTCCCTGGAGAAGGAAATGGCAACCCACTCCAGTATTCTTGCCTGGAGAATCCCATGGATGGAGTAGCCTTGTGGGCTACAGTCCACGGGGTGGCAAAGAGTAGAACAGAACTGAACGACTAACACTATCACACTTTTTCTGGGGTAAGAAAGCATAAAGAAGGAAGACCTCTTTTCCTCCCAGCCCTTGCTTCTCCCCAGATACCCAAGAAATGTACTTAAGAAATTGGAAAGGAGTAATTCAGGCACCTAGGATCCTAATTAAATGTATGCTCTTAAAATTTTCCCCTGCAAGAACCAAGTTAGCTTTATGCCTCCTCACATTTAAAACTCTGATTGCTAACCTCTTTGAATCTCTGTCTAGTTTTTCCAGCTTTCCATTTGTTAAGTTAGTTCAAGTTATTTGGATTTTTGAATTTTCTTCACTTTTCTAATAAGCATGCTAAATAAACTCAGATAATAAAAGTCATTTAATGAGACCTAATATCCCTCCCAGAGATCTAAGTTTTTGGTTATTGTTGAAGAACAGTTAAATGGAGAAATATTTGGGGGAGTTCCAGTATTAAATATCCCTTGTTACTCATTCTTAGCCTTCTTCAAAGAAATTAATTAGCATACATTGTTCTATTTCCAGGCAATTTTCAATTCCTGTGATAGTACTTATAACCAGAAATGGTTTTAATTAATTTTGTGAGTAAATTTAATAACAGAAAAATGAATATTTATTGAAATAAAGAAAAATTAAATATATTGAATTTCTTTAAAATGATTTTTTTCTTTATTAATGAGCTCTTTTTGCTCATGATTAAATTAAACTTGACATTTTTCTGTCTTTTATTTCCACTGAATTATGAAAATTAAAAAATAAAGCAAAACAAAATGTAATTTGTGGCTTTAGTAGGAAGGACCAAGGCACCAAACAGTCTTTCTTATCAGTCAGATATAAATTTTTGTAGTCATTTTCTCTGAACCTAATGTCTATGATATCTTAACAGAATTTAAGATCTGAATTGTTAAATTATTATTACTGGGATCATAGTGTCATTTTTAATAAAAGTATAAGAGCTAAGTTCCTCTATAATATTCTTTAACTATTGAGCTCACCTTGAGTTTGTTTAAATTAATATTTATTTTTTAAAATTGAGGATTCATCTTGATTAATTTTGGAAATAATATGAAGTCCTACTCACCATGACTTTATAAAGGCAACTTCAAGATAATTGTCAATATCACAGAAAGCATATTCATTTTAAATTTTTTGTTTGTTAGACTCACCAACTCTATTCAGTCAAATGAGAGCAAGGAAAATAGAAATAAAGCTGATGGTGAAAATTTTACCTTAGGTGTCTGAGCAGATGGTGAAAAAGGAAATGCAGGAAAAGACGATCTAAGAAGAAATTTAATAAATTTCAGGTATGTTGAGTTTGAAGTACCTATGTGACATCCATGTGGAAATATTCAGTTATTGAATTATATGAACTATTTGTATATTTTGGAAGTTAAGTCCTTGTTGTTTGTATCATTTGCAAATATTTTTCTCCCAGTCCATAGGCTGTCCTTTCATTTTGTTCATGGTTTTCTTTACTGTGTGAAAGCTTTTAGGTTTGATTAGATCTCATTTGTTCATTTTTGCTTTAATTTGTACTGCCTTGGGAGACTGCCCTAAGAAAATATTGCTATGATTTATATCAGAGAATGTTTCGCCTATGTTCTCTCCTAGGGGCTTCATGGCATTATGTCTTACATCTAGCTATTTTGAGTTTATTGTTGTATGTGGTGTGAGGGAGTGTTCTGACTCTGATTCACATGCAGCTGTCCAGTTTTCACAACACTGCTGGAAGAGACTATTTTTTCCTCAATGTATATCTTGCCTTTGTTGAAGATTAATTGACCATAGGTATGCAGGTTTATTTCTGGGCTCTCTACTCTGTTGCATCAATTCATATGTCTGATTTTGCCCCAGCCAGGCTGTTTTGATTACCATAGCTTTGTAGAATTCTCTGAAGTCTAGGAGGGTTATGCCTCCTGCTTCACTCTTTTTCCTCAGGATTGTTTTGGTAAGTCTGAGTCTTTTATATAAATTTTAGCATTATTTGTTCCAGTTTTGTGAAAAATGTCATGGGTAAGTTGATAGGGATGGCATTAAGCTTGTAGACTGCTTTGGGTACTATGGCCATTTTAACAATATTAATTCTTCTAACCCAAGAGCATATAGGACATCTTTCCATTTCTTTGAATCATCTTCAATTTCCTTTACCAATGTTTTATAGTTCTCAGCACGTCTTTCACCTCCTTTATGAAGTTTATTCCTACGTGCTTTTTTAAAAAATGTGATTTTTAAAGAGATTGATTGTTTGCATTCCCTTTCTGATATGTCATTGTTAGTGTAAAAAAATATACCTAATTTCTGTATGTTAATTCTTCTGTCCTGCTACCTTGTTGAATTAGTTTATCAGTTCTAGTAGTTTTTGTGCGTAGTCTTTAGGGTTTTCTATATACAGTGTCGTGTCATCTGTATATAATGACAGTTTTACCTCTTCCATTCCCATCTGGATACCTGAAGAGACAATTTAAAACCAAAGAGAATGAAGTTAGAATGATCCTTCCGCCTTGCTTCCATCACTCAGGGCAAATAGGGTTCAGAGGAAGGCCGGGTCAGTTTCAGAATGTCAAGAAGTTTTAGACACTTGAGTGTATTGTATGAAAATTGTGACACTAAAGATGACTTCTGGTTATTACTTAAATAATTTATGGTGTTCACTGAGTAACAGCTTGTAATAAGATTAGGACTCCACTTGAATTTCATTTTACCTCAGTCAGTCACATATCCATGCTTTCCCCATGACTTCAGCTCATAAATAAAAGTCATTTCTGGTTCAGAAAAATGAGAAAGAAGAAATTGTTTTCATTTTTTAAAATTCCACTTGCCTCTTTATTGAGCCAGTCATTCTCCCAGATCTCTCGATAGCTGCCTTTGTCAATGAACCTTAGAGAATTCTAAAAAAAAATTTTTTTTTTTCCTGTATTAAAGAAGAGCTGCCACAAAGCATTCCCCCCCCCTCCTTTTTTTTAGCAATGATGATACACAATCAACTTATCTGAACAGTTAAAATTATGGTTTCTAGGAACTTTGGAAATATGCCTAAAAACTTTGGGTCCCATTGTTCTTTCTTTATTATCCTATTGTGCTGTTTTTCCCGATTTAGACTGCCTAACACAGATGAAAGTGAAAGAGGAGAATGAAAAGTTGGCTTAAAGCCTAACATTCAGAAAACTAAGATCATGGCATCTGGTCCCATCACTTCATGGGAAATAGATGGGGAGATAGTGGAAACAGTGTCAGACTTTATTTTGGAGGGCTTCAAAATCACTGCAGATGGTGACTGCAGCCATGAAATTAAAAGACGCTTACTCCTTGGAAGGAAAATTATTACCAACCTAGATAGCATATTAAAAAGCAGAGACATTACTTTGCCAACAAAGGTCCATCTGGTCAAGGCTATGGTTTTTCCAGTGGTCATGTATGGATGTGAGAGTTGGACTATAAAGAAAGCTGAGCGCCAAAGAATGGATGCTTTTGAACTGTGGTGTTGGAGAAGACTCCTGAGAGTCGCTTGGACTGCAAGGAGATCCAACCAGTCCATCCTGAAGATCAGTCCTGGGTGTTCATTGGAAGGACTGATGCTGAAGCTGAAACTCCGATACTTTGGCCACCTCATGCGAAGATTGACTCATTGGAAAAGACTCTGATGCTGGGAGGGATTGGGGGCAGGAGGAGAAGGGGATGATAGAGGGTGAGATGGCTGGATGGCATCACTGACTCATGGACATGGGTAAGCTCCGGGAGTTGGCGATGGACAGGGAGGCCTGGTGTGCTGCGATTCACCGGGTCGCAAAGAGTCGGACACGACTGAGCGACTGAACTGCACTGAACTGAACTGAGCACAGATGACTGAAAGAACTGGACGGTGGTTGTCCAATCAATTTGGCCGCTAGTGTGACTGAATCTGACTGCCGTGGTGAAGTCAGTCATGAAGTGACCTGCTTCACCGTTTGAATGTGCGAATTAACTTTATGCATTGATTTCGGCTGTGCCGGGACTTCGCCGCTGCTGGGGCTTTCCTCTGGATGTGGTGTGTGGGCTTCTGTCTGTGGGGGCTTCTCTCGCCGTGGAGCACGGGCTCCAGAACGCGCCGACTTCGGTAGCAGCAGCGCCGGACTCTGGAGCACAGGCTCCGCAGCTGCGTAGCTGCGGCGCCCGGGCATAGTTGCTCCACCGCACGTGGGATCTTCTCAGATCAGGAATGGAACCCATGTCTCCTGCATTGGCGGGTGGATTCTTCGCCAACAGGGAAGCCCTGTTCCGCCATTAAGATGGCTAAACTACAGTGATCAAACTTTCTTCAAGTTTATGGTCACAGGGATAATTTAACATGTAGCAAGAGCAAGGATAGATGATATAACTACCTTTTAAATCTGAAACATTTCTGCAGTTCAGTAACAACAATGTACCTATTTATAAACCTAATAGCAAATAGTTGCAAATTAGCAGGCTGTCTCCTGGAGAAAAGCATTTTAAATTAAAAAAACAGGGAAAGTCTTACTTTATCAGTAGGATCATAAGATGTAATTTCATTTTCAGTTACTAGAATATTTACAATTTCACCCAAAGGAATTTTATAGTGGACAGCAGGTCACGTTTATATGTAAGGTGGTTTTATATGAATGAAAGTGAAAGTGTTAGTTGCCCAGTCATGTCCGGCTCTTTGCGACCCTTATGTACAGTAGCCTGCCAGGCTCCTCTGTCCATGGAATTCTCCAGGCAAGAATACTGGAGTGGGTTGCCATTCCCTTCTCCAGGGGATCTTCCTGACCCAGGGATCAAACCCCGGTCTCTCCCAAATTGAAGGCAGATTCTTTACTGTCTGAGCCACCAGGATACCACACAGCAAAGTAACTGAAGGATACAACCAAAAGAAGAGAAATTGAGAAAAATATTCTGGCTCATAAACATGGATTGAAAGAATTTAAAACTATATGAAAGGTAAATTTTAGTAAGTGCTTTGAGTAGGAAGACTTGCAATAAATTCCTTTTTTAAAAAAAATCATGTTAATTAAATAAGAGTGAACCTCCATTTCCCAGGAACCATGTAAAAAGTTCAGCTCCAAATGGTAAGACTAAAGTTTATTTAGACATAGAATTTTCTTGGAACAAAAGTAGGAAGTAGCTCATAAATGAATTTAGTTAGCTAATAACTTATTTCACTAACAATGGAGTAGTGTTTTCAGCTTTGACTACACATTCGAATCTCCTGGATATTTTGAGAAATTCAAAAGCCCAGGCAAAATCTCAGGTCAATTACAAGCGCATCTTGGTGGGTGGGGCCCAGGACCCATGTGGGTTAAACAAACTTTCCAGGTGACTCTAACAAGCAACTGTGTTAGTTGTTCAGTTGTGTCTGACTCTTTGCGACCCCATGGGCTGTAGCCTGCCAGGATTCTCTATCCATGGAATTCTCCAGGCAAGAGCACTGGAGTGGGTTGCCATTTCCTTCTCCAAATAAGCAGCTAAGGTTGCACAAAAGTAGTTTTTAGAAGTTAACTACATGATGAAATATGGGCTTCCCTGGTAACTCAATGGTAAAGAATCCACCCACAATTCAGGAGATGGAGTTTCCATCCCTGAGTTGGGATGGTGCCCTGGAGAAGGAAATGGCAACCCACTCCAGTATTCTTGCCTGTGAAATCCCATGGACAGAGGGGCCTGGTGGGCTACAGTCCATGGGGATGCAAAGAGTTGGACACGACTTAGCGACTACTCCATCACCACCATCCACATAATAAGATGACCAGAAAAAAATGAGAAACATTAATTCACTTATGTGGGTGTTTGGCATTAGGTAGAGAAAAGAAAACATACAGTATAATAATTAAGAGTACTGATCTGAAAAAGACTTCTTAAATGTCAATCCCGCCACATGCTCTGGGCAAGGCACAATGTTTCTCTGTGTCTCTGTCTTCTTATTAGCAAGTCTCCCCCTTATAGGATTGTTGAGAGATTTTAATGTAAAATACTAGGAACAGTATTGGGGGCAGTCTTCATTATATACTGAAGGTACATACTGAAAGCATTCTTGATTGACATATGCATTTTTAACCATCTTAACTAAGCTCAGATCACTTATTGATTTCACCGTTTAATCATATTCAGTCCCAAAGGGGCTCAATTGCATGGGCAAGCAAAACCATTGATCAGTTCTCCTCCATATCCTCTGTATTTGTATAAATCAATCAAAATTGTGCAATGGCATAGGAATACTGAAAGAACAATAGAACCAAAAGGGAAGCAACAAACAATAGCAACAGAAATTCAGTGAAGAACTCTAGAAAAGGCCAGATGCTTATCACTCCAAAGGAAGGATGTTCCAGATAGAGAGACAATCCCAGCAGGGATCTCACAGATTTAGGACACAGGCTGGAGTAAGATGATAGTGCAAGTGAAAGCCACTCAGTCGTGTCCGACTCTTTGCGACCCCATGGACTATACAGTCCATAGAATTCTCCAGGCTAGAATACTGGGGTGGGTAGCCTTTCCCTTCTCCAGGGGATCTTCCCAACCCAGGGATCAAACCCAGGTCTCCTGCATTGTAGGCAGATTCTTTACCAGCTGAGCCACAAGGGAAGCCCCAGAGCAAGATGAAGGACAACAGTGGAAAGGAAATACAGGCAGATGTTTCAGACAAAACAAAGATTAGAAAAGATGAATTGGAAATTATATCTCAAACATTTTTTTATATCCTCAATTTTTAAAGCTCCAGCAACATCAAGTGTACTCTCTTAGGTTTGCGTACGTAAGAAAGTACTTTATAGACAAATTATGTTTCATCCTATAGTTCATCCAAAATTTCACAATTTGTATAGTCATTATTATTATACTTTAAAATAACTGAATATTAATTTCCAGAGCTCTTGCTCTTATGAGGCACCATGCTACTTAAATCATCTCAGTCCTCATAGTATTCATTAAAGGTAAATATTAGTATTATTGTCCCCTTTTTATAGACTGGGAAACCAAAGCCCAGAAAAGTCAAGTATAAATTCAACTTATACACTGGGCTTCCCTGATAGTTCAATTGGTAAATTTACTTTTAATTAATAACATAATCGTATACATCAACTATATTTCACTTAAAATTTTGAAGTTCTCTGTGAGAAAAAGAAAAATCTACTATTAAAAAAAAAGAAAAGAAAATTGACATATACCTCTGTGGCCCATTCCTTCTTTTGGTCCTGCTGCAACAAAGTTTCTTTGATTATTTTCTTTCTATCATCTTCCAGGGTGATTTTATACTGTTCTTTAAAAAGAAAATTAGAAAGCTTGAGATCTTAGGTAAAACTATCAAGTTGTAAACTTTATCTTCCATGATCCCCACCTCACCTTTCTTTGTATTTTTTTCCCCTGAATTTTCAAAGTACAGTCTTACTGAAGAATTTAGTACCTCTAATGAGCCAAAATGCTCCAACAGTTTACTAATGCCTTAATGGGAATTCGTTGGAGATGGTATCTCTCATGAATATTTGTATTTTTAAAGGATTTCCAATGCTTTAGTGCCTCTGAAGCCATCTACCCTTCATATCACACTACTTCTGATTCCACAAATTAAATATGAAGAGACTTGATTATACACACAAGTAGCATCCTGTACATCTAATGCCATCTAACTGAATTTCCAATGTTCTTGGCACACGTTTCCTGGGACAGGAAAGACAGAAGGAGGAGAGGACAGCGAGGCGGAGAGGGGCTGGGGAAGTCAGCAGACTGGATCTGAGCTGGGCTCAGAGCAAGAGGGGAGAACAGAGATGCAAGGGCAGGATGCCCTGTCCTCTGCAGGTCTTCTCACATAATGAACGTTAGAACTGAGAGCAAAGGGTCAAAAAACTGGGGCCTTGAAGGATGCTGAGAGGTCATATAATGAACACTGCTGTTTAGGGAAAGCAAGATAAAGTGACATGAGGGCTGCTTTAGGGAGTGGAGAGAAATGAATCTGGATAAATGAGTCTCGTTTGTTCATTCTTTTATTCAGCAAATCATCATCGAGTTCTTTTGATGTGCATGACACTATTTAAGACACTGGGAATATTACCAAATGAGAGACAGAACTCTTGCCCTTATGACACATACATCCTGGTGGGGAAGCCAGTGAATAATATTTTAGGTGGTGAGGCATGTGATGAAGAAAAACAAAAATTCTCAGACTTCCCTGGTGATGCAGTAGATAAGAATCTGCCTGCCATTGCAGGGTACACAGGTTTGATACCTGGTCTGGGAAGATCCCACATGCCATAGAGCAACTAAGTCCGTGGGCCACAACCCCTGAGCCTGTGCTCTAGATCACGGGGACCACAGATACCGACGCCCAAGTACCTGGAGTCCGTGCTCCACAACTAGAGAAGCCCGACCACTGCAACAGAGAGGAGCCCCAGCTTATTGCAACTAGAAAATGCAAAGCAATGAAGACCCAGCACAGCCAAAAGTAAAAAGGGGAAAACCTAAAATTTTCCATTTTAGATAGAGTGATCAGAGAAAGCTTTTTTGAGGAGGTAATATATGAGTGAAGACTGAATACAGTGACATAGTTAGCTGTGTGCAACAGGAGGGCAGTGTACCCTCCAAGTCAGAATCGTCAGAGTTGTGCTCTATGATGACATCAGTGTTACATGTCCCCATTAGATGAGTTTTATTTATAACAGTTGAAAGATAATTATTTGGAAGTCAGAGAGTATTGTCTCCTACAAATGATGTTGACAGTTATGGTTGTAGCCTTTCCCTCCTCCAGGGGATCTTCCCAACCCAGGGATCGAACCCAGGTCTCCTGAATTGCAGGCGGATTCCTTACCAGCTGAGCCACAAGGGAAGCCCTAGATTTCTAGACTGGTCCACAGCGACTCATTTAACTTATTCTGTAATGAAACAATACTATTGTATTGAGATTGTTGTGGGACATAACAGCCATTTAGGACATTATTTCAAAGGGAAAATTTTCCCCACTGACCAAGTCAGCCAAAGCTGACTCTAAGCACTCTTGGGGGTCTTAGGCTACAGGGAAGAAGGTGTGCAGGCCTGGTCTTTGAATAGTTTGGAGGCAAACTAAGGCTCTGGAAATGGGCACAGGGAGCTAGGCTAGAGCCATTCAGCCCTCATTGTGTTTCGTACGGGCATAACTGCTTCCCCTATTCAAGGAAAACTCTGAGAGCAGAGAGTCAAGACTTCTCTTCCACATCCTTCTATTATTGCAATCCCGGGTGACTGCAGCCATGAAATTAAAAGACGCTTGCTCCTTGGAAGAAAAGCTATGACCAACCTAGACAGCATTAAAAAGCAGAGACATTACTTTGCCAACAAAGGTCCATATAGTCAAAACAAAGGTTTTTCCAGGAGTCATGTATGGATATGAAAGTTAGACCATAAAGAAAGCTGAACGCCAAAGAATTCGTGCTTTTGAACTGTGATGTTGGAGGAGACTCTTGAGAATCCCTTGGACTGCAAGGAGATCCAACCAGTCCATCCTAAAGGAAATCATTCCTGAATGTTGATTGGAAGGACTGTTGCTGAAGCTGAAACTCCAATACTTTGGCCACCTGATGCGAAAAACTGACTCATTGGAAAAGATCCTGATGCTGGGAAAGATTGAAGGCAGGAAAAGGGGACAACAGAGGAAGAGACAGTAGGATGGCATCACTGATTAATGGACATGAGTTTGAGGAAGCTCAGGGAGTTGGTGATGGACAGGGAGGCCTGACGTGCTGCAGTCCATGGGGTCGCAAAGAGTCGGACACGACTGAGTGACTGAACTGAACTGATTGACCCTACAATTGTGAATACTCCCAGGGAAACTGGGAGTATGTAAAAGTCTCCTTCCCAGAAAAGTCTGGGACATTGCAAATGGGAGATTATGACTTTGTGCCTTTAGACTCCTGGCTGCTCAGATGCCTGGTCCAACGTTTGCCTTGCACTGCTCGCCTTTCCTTGTCGTGTCTGGCTCTGCTTCAGCTCCACCCCACAAGCTTTGGGGGTCGGTTGTTCGCTCTTCACCCACTTCCGGTGTCACACTGCTACACCGGGCTCACCCTCTTCTGGGCCGCTGGCTTCCTGTGACCCCTCTCTGGACAAGGCTGAGCAGGGGCTGGTGGTAACACTGGCCACGCAGAAGTTCCTTCAGGCAGAGTGGGTGTTAGGTGAGTCGCGGAGTGGGGCGGGCTACTGGAAGCTTATAGGCTTGGGTCTGACATGCACCTGGGTTCGCCTCCCATTTCCACTACTTAATAAGTCTGAGTTTAAAGCCGTGAACTCTTCCAGGCCTCTGTTCCCTCATAAACTGGGCACAGTGGCATCTAACTCAAAGGGACTTGTGAGATGAGACAAGGTTAGGAAAGCAGGTCCTGGGGCCGTGAGTTCTCATGGAGGTCACTGAGGTGATCAGATGGAGAAACTGGCATTCAAAGAGGCAGGCTTGACCCGTGCCTTTTAACTCACTTAGTGCCCAGAGAGGCTTTTAAGGATCCCTGTCCCATGCATCTGGTCAAGGACCAAAGGAAAAACTCTGTGACTCTACTATCTGCTGTTTTCTAATAACTCCATATTTCTCTATTCCTGGGACTCATCTAAGGGTTTAATAAAATCTAAAACTTTTTAAAATAAAACATTTTAAAATTTAAAAAAAAATTTAAAATTTTAAATTAAAACAATTTAAAAAGAATTTTTAAAAAAAATCTAAATTTCCTTTTACTGAGAACAAAAGCCTTGTCCTGGATATGTCAGGAGGGTGTGTCCTCTGCTCCCAGTGTCCTGACATCTCCTTCAAACTGAAGTCCGGGGAGGCAGGTCCAGGTGCCCCCTCCTCAGGCCCCCAGGGCTCAGGGCAGCTGCTGGGTCAGGGAGGCTGAACAGCTGACCAGAGCACGGTTTGTGCTGGGGCCAGTCGACGGCCCACGAGGCTCCACGGGTGGAGGTCTTTGATCGTGCTTGACTAGGTAGGTGGTCACGATGACGCTCTTCAGAGTTAGTTTGTGGGAAGCAAGGATGGAGTCGGGGCAGGCAGAGAGCAGAGGTGCCCTGAGGGGACAGTCACAGACCGCAGGCGACAATGCAGGGAGGAGCATTGTCCCTGGAGCCAGCACGGATCTGACGGCCGTCTGTTTCCATCCTTGGTCCTCCCATCCTTCACGGCAAGTCCTGTGTCCAACAAACGTGACCATGGGGCACCGACAACCTTGCTTTTCTCTTCCATTTCTCTGTGTGTTTGTTTTTGCTTTGGCCACACTGGGTCTTCATTGCAGCATGCGGGCTTTCTTTAGGTGTGGCATATGGTACAGCATGTGGGATCTTAGTTCCCCAACTAGGGATCGAACCTGTGTCCTCCACTTTGGAAGGCGAATTCTTAACCACGGGACCACCCAGGGGCGTCTCTTCTCTCTTCCCTTTAAAATGTATACTGTGAGGGTATTAGCCCTCTCTTACTAACATGCATGGCAATCCTATGATTTTTTCTGGTTCCTTCGTGATAACTGAAGATCTCCCAATCTGAAATTAAGATAGCTAGTCTTTATAACAATCGAAATTTCAAGCTTCATTCAAAGTTATGGCTGTTCCCTTCCTAGCTTAAACCTACTACTGTTTCCTCTGGCTTGAGCTGGCGCACCTCCGTCCCCCTCAGGGCTGAAGGGGAGCCTTGGAAGGACAAGAAAGCACTCACTTGACTGATCCTATCTCAAGCTAAGGCCTCATTTTCTGGGGCCAGCTGGCATTCAAGATTGAGGCTCCTCTCTCGGGGGTGTTTGTGGAGGTTCTCTGGAGGTTCCCCATTGCTAGTTACATTTCACCAGCACACCCTTGATGCAGGGCAGGGGATGTGCTGTCATTGGAGGTTGGCTGATGACTGTCCCTTTGACCTCTGGTTCTGTCTCCTCCTCCCTCCCACATGTACAGGCACCTATTTCTCTTTGGAGTGGGTTGACCACTCTTGTCAACCCACAGGTAAAATTTAACAGGCCTGTGTACCAGCACTCTCTCAGACAACAGGTCCCCAGGAAACGCTCCACTCTTTGCCACAAGCTGCTCTGGGAGTGCTCGCTGCTGCAGACTGAATGTCTGTGACCCCGCCCCCTTCTCCACATTGTTAGTACATTGAACCCCAGTGTCCTGGCATTTGGCAGGTCATTAGGTCGGGAGGCTAAAGCCCTCATGAGTGGGATTAGTGCCCTTATAACAGAGACCCCAGAGAGCTCTCTTGCCCCTTCCTCTCTGTCAGGTTACAGCAGAAAGACAGTGTCTCTGAACCAAGAAGCAAGCTCTCCCTAGGCACCCAATCTGTCAGTCCCTTGACCTTGAACTTTGCAGTCTCAGAGCTGTGAAAAACAAGTTTGTGTTATACACAGGCAACCTAGTCTATGGTACTTCATTATAGGGGCTCAAATAGACTGAGACATAGGCCCAGCCCAGGGCAGCAGCTTCGTACCTCTTCGTGTGCTGCTGTTAGAACAGTTACCTAGTCAGTCACTTAACCTGTAGATTTTACGGGGATGAGTCATAAACTAGATCTCAGTGTCCCTCAAACTGCAGGGGATACATGTTGAACAGTCTGAAGAACTTCCTTAAAGACCTTCCATCTGGATTTGAGGTAAAGGAGGAATTACAATTTACCTGCCCTTTGGGGGATAGTGTACAACTTGCTGCACCCATGAGCTCTTTCCAAGAAATGTCCCCTAATTTTTAACAGTTTTTTCATGGTCTCCTCAATGTCTTTTATAAACTGGAATTCGGTGCTTGAAGGTATGAAACCTGTTTTCTGCCTCATCAAACTGGCAGTCTGCATAGCAGATTCTCACTTTATTTTGGAATGTGGTATCCATTATAATAGGGGGCTTCCCAGGTGGCTCAGGGATTAAAAAAATCCACCTGCCAATCAGGAGACATGGGTTCGATTCCTGGGTCAGGAAGATCCCTTGGAGAAGGAAATGGCAACTCACTCCAGTATTCTTGCCTGGAAAAAACCCACGGACAGAGGAGCCTGGCAGATAGTCCATGGGGTTGCAAAAGGATTGGACACTACTTAGTGACCAAACAACCACCACCACCCATCGTATAGACACCCAGGTTTAAATAGATTTTACAAGTTTCATTTTAATATCCCATTTCATTTACAATAAAAACCCTTTCTTCTAAAGTACTCTTTCCTTGCAGTTAAAGCTGTCTAGCTAACACAAACTCCATGGTCATGGCTGTGGGAGGAGAATTTCAGAGAAGTCATGGAAGAAGGGGGAAGGTGGGAAAAAAAGGGGATGGTAGGAGTAAGACTTCAGACAAATTGACTTAGGCGTTCTATTCATATTCATTGTGTCCAACGAGTGGCCCCCGAAGTGGTTTAATTGTCCCCAGGCAGAATTGCTGCTGCATGCTTGAAAGTGAAAGTGAAGTTGCTCAGTTATGCCCGACTCTTTGCAACCCCATGGACTGTAGCCTACCACACTCCTCTGTCCATGGGATTTTCCAGGCAAGAGTACTGGGGAAGTGCCTAAATAAGATAAGCCTATAACAGCCATTTTCTCATGAAATCTAAAGTGGGCTATACACCAAGGTTCAACCAGCAGCATAAAAATTTTGTTACCACCACCCCCAAGTTAGATATAGCAGCATGAAAATTTTCAGCTCAAAGAAATCATCCAAATTTCTAATCAGGATAATGGGTTAAGTTTATATGAGGAATGCTAGGAAATTATTAAATGAATGCTGGAAAACTATTAAAATTTTTTTAAATACACTAGAATGGTAACATTTTCTTTTGGCCATGCTGCATGGCTTATGGGATCTTAGTTCCTCAACTGGGGATTGAACCTGGGCCCACAGCAGTGAAAGCACCAAGTCTTAACCACTGGACTGGCAGGGACTTCCCTCTATGGTGTTGTTGCACAAACACATAGATCCATGGAACAGAATAGGAAATATAGAAAGAGAGCCAAACACACATGGGAAATGAAAGTGTGATAAAGTCATCATTGTGGATCACAGGGTAAAAATGGCTCATTTAATAGATGATGTTGAGACAACTGGAAAGTCATCTGGCAAAAAAGAAAGTTGGTTTCCTACCTCGCACAAAAAAATCAGATTTAAATATAAAGATGAAGATATAATAAATTCTAGAAGAAAATATTAGAGAATGTATTTGTAATCTCAAATCATAAAATCAAAGACTGATAAATTGGGCACTATGAAGTTACAAATTTTCCTCATACAAATACCACACAGACAGAAGACTAATAATGAAGGGGGAAAATACTTGCACCTTAAATCACAGTTAAAGAGCTAATTTCCTTGGAAAGTAAAGAGCTCCACAACACAATAGAAAAATGAACAAAGGATGAGAACAGAAAAGAAATCCATATGGTTCTTGAGTTTATGAAAAGATATTCACTGTCATTACAGGAAGAGAAATGGAAATTAAAGCTACAGTGAGTTATCACTTACGAGTAGGGGAGTAGTTAAAAAAATTATAGTACAACAAAACAAAGGAGACATTGGGAGGATGAGGCAGTATTAACATGTACCGATCTGTAAAGACATCCATATTGTTACTTGAATGAATAAGTGAAAAATTGCATCTGTAGCATGCTGTTTTGTAACATACATGTATATTCTGAGACATGCACAGGATCTTTCTGAAAGGTTACATTAAGGAACTAGCAATGGTGTTTCTATCTAGAAAGGGGATCTCAGTGGCTGGGGGAACAGACAAGGGTAGGAGGGTGTCACTCTTACTCTCTTCTTTGGGGGGAGAAGAACCTTTTGAAATATTTTAACTCCAGTTGCAGACTGATTTAGGGCCAAATTTATACCACCGATGTGCAGAGGCCCTGAATTGAGAAACACACATGAAAATTGGTCCAGAAGTGGGGTGACCGGGCAGAGCCTCAGAGGGGATACTGGGGTACCCCACATACACACTCCTCCCACAGAACATGGCTCCAGGACCAGCTGGGCTCAGAACTGCCATCCACCCACGCCGCTCTTTGGGGCCAGATTTCTCCCGTTTGTCCTACCCTTGGCTTCCGGGTCTCTGCGTCTCTGGAGTTCTTTGAAGGCACTCTGCTCGGCCTCAGGGACAGACAGGTGACCTCAGGTGAGATCTGTCCTCCCTGATGCCTTCCTGTCCCACCCTCTTCCCTTCCTGTCCCTTGTTTGTTCTTCGGTTTCCTTCTGACGACAGCTTAGCATTTACTTGGCCATTCTTCTATAATGATTCTGGTTGTCTAGCTTGGGTAGGTTGCCCTAGCTGGGCCTCAGCTGATTTCTTCTCTAATACGACCCCTTCCCAGGACCCTCCTTCCGCGGTGGAATTGACCCAGAGCCAGGTATGAGAGCATGCAGACCGCACCCACTGAATGCAGCTTCTTTCTCAAAGTCAGCAGCAAGGCTTCTGCCCACACACCCTTCCCTTCACTTCCCCTCATCAGTTTCACAGATAGTCCTGGGAAGTTTACTTCCTCCACCATATCCTTACTCGTAGTGCTCAAGCTGACGGATGATTCCAGGGTACCTCTTTCTTCCTTTCACCAAATGTCTGCCCCCTAAACAGTTTTTTTATTCAATCTGAAGCAGTTTTCTTGCAACTGACCTGACATTTTTTTGGCATTCTCCTTAACTCTGTTGATGTCGTTCTGTAAGGAGGTAATGAGGTTAGCATGTTGTTCACTCCCTACATTCTTGTATTCCTCCCAATATTCTTTCTCACTGAGTTTCTCAAGAAATAGCTTCTCAGAATTACTTATTTGGATGCGCATATCTGTTGAAAGAACATCAAGATTTTGGGTCATTTCTGTTGTCCTTGCAACCATCATATGTTGCACTCTGATTTTGTGAAATTAAAGTCTGATATGAAAATATCAACTCAAAAAAGAAAATATCAACTCATAAATATAATTTTATATCTACAATTTAGGGAAGTCTAAACTATTCAAACTATTGTTTATCTATCCCTCATGATTCAAAAGCTAAGTAAAAATAAACTTTCAATTTTAAAGTAGATAGTGTGGTTTGGGGCTGTGACCAAGAATGAAAACATGCAATCAACTTATACGCCTAGGGACCCACAAGTTTAAATTATGCCTGTGATAGCTTGATAAGCATCCTGTTTTGTACAATGTATTATTTCACATATACTTTTTATTGTAAATTGTCATTTTTCTGGTCATTATGTCTCTGGGCAAAGTAATTCCAACTTACATCCTTCCACTGTCCTTGGTGACCTTTTTTTGTTAAGTACGTTGTTTGATTCCATCATTTACAGATCAGCTCTTTGAGCTTTCCTTGTGTGAAATGACAGCATATGATAGTCATAATCACCTCTCTTCCCAGTCGCCACATAGTTAAGACTTCAGAGTGAAAGCTAAGTTCCTCAGTTAAATGTGTAGAAATATGGAGCTGTCTCAGTTTGCCCCAGTGTACTTACTATACATGATATTCTACACAGTCTTTAGGCTGAGTATCAAGCTGCTGAATATTCTGGAAAAGGAAGCATCACCAGAACCAGATACGATGAACTTAATGCTGTTTGGCTCACTGCCCCGTCCCATCTGGTTTGAGAGCTCCTGAGGGCAAGACCACATCTTATTCATCTCTGTCAACCCAGCACTTGGCAGAGAATCTGGCCATTAGCTGATGCTCAGTAAATGTTTATGAAATGAGTGAAGCATTCTTTCAGGCCAGAGAGATGCTCTTCAGCCCAAACATCCAGGACTCCAGACATGTCTTTGTCAAAGGTGTGATAATAATACATTTTTAATACATACTTAACATATTAATATTCAAAATATATTATACATTTTTAAATTCCCTTAACAAGCAGTTCTTGTTATTAAACAATTAAGAACACTACACCTCCGTGATCAGCTGCCCTCTGAGAGCAGACTGCCCCTGATTCAGCCCTGCACCACGTTCAGGCTTTGCGGGGAGGGTTGGTTGATGTCACTGAAGCTTTTGAAAGACAGGTGGGGGTAGCAGCTGCTGTTCTGCTTTCCCAGCTCCCCTCTCTCCCTTCCCGTCTCGTAACACACGTCTCCCTCGTCATGTAAATACACTGACCACAGACGCCCTTTTCCCAGCCGGAGAGATGGGTCCAGGGTTGAGCATGCACCCCAAGCTAGGCCCTGGCTCAGAGTCTTTCCCTAGAAATGCTCTCACTGAAACTGGTAGAAAACATATCTTTTTTTGTCTCCACTCCACTTTGAGGTTATAAGGATGTACGTTCAGAGGTGTCTATGGTCAGAGTTCTAGACTCACAGGGAGAACGTTCTCGGAAAAAGGAGCCTGCTTTCCAGGGGAAGGCAGAGAGGCAAGAGGGATGAGAGGGGCAGTGCGGGGAGGGAGAGGGTGGGCTAGAAAGAGGGGGTGATAGGGAGAGGGAGAGCAGGAGAGGGAGACGCATAAGCGGAAGCTGAGCTCTGACAGCCTGTGAGGCTCCGGGTTCAGCTCAGTCACACCCTGCCTTTTCTGTCTGGTTACTTGAAGAGATTAACCTCTTCTTTATGCTTGGACTAGTCTGGGTTGGATTTTTATCCTCGCAACTGAAGGCGTCCCAGGTAAACGTAGGAAGACGGGAGTTTTGTCAGCACTTCTCAAACCTGACTGTGAGCAGAAACCCCCTGTGACCTTGTCCAAATGCGGACTCTCTGACTCAGCAGGTCCAGACGGCTCAGAGGCTCTGCACCATCCCGGGCTGCTCCGTGAACTGAACAGAGTTGCGGGTGACCATCTGGTACCAACCGTGACGGCCTCAGAGAGCCCTTGTAGACACGTCCCCTCCCTCTCCCTCTCCTCGGCCTCCGCGGGCTTCCTTCTCCCGTGGACCCACACACGCCCAGCCCTCCTGTCCTAGTCGCCCAGCGCATCCCCAGCCTTGGGGGACACGCGCACCCCAGCCCCAGCCCAGACCGCACACAGGCACCCCTCCACTAACCGGACCATTCCCTGCAGAGGCAGCGTAGTGAGCACGTCTGAGCATCGGCTGGGGTCTCACACACATCTCAAGAGAGTTCGTGAAGCATCCCTTGCACACAGAAGCAGGCTTCTCCCAGAGACGGGCCGGCCAGGAAAAGCATCCACCACCCGTGCCTGCGGTCGCTATAGGGGCTCAGCCTGAGGAGGCTTATGGAACAGGGTTAGAGAGCCCCTAAAATGAAGCCTGCTACCTGTGGCCTTGGTAACTACTTCACTCGAAACGACAACTATCTACGAATGGAGCGCCTGCTCCCTGCCAAGTGCTCGAGTAAGTCAGCTCTCTGGAGAGCTTGGGGAAATCCAAGGAAATCTAGTCCCTCATTTTTGCCTCTCAGGTTCTCGTACTGCTTTCTGGTAGCACTCCAGTCTCTCCCCTGTTTTCCAGGTTCCTGGCAGGGATGGTATTTATAGAGGTTCTGGCAAAAAAAAAAAAAAAAATCTAGAAATCTGAGCAGCAAGTTCAAGATGAAGAAATAGGAATTTTTTTTCAAGGCATGTGTCAACACTGAGGGTCCAGCTTTCAGGACCCTGGTACTTCCTGAGCCCGTGGCAAGACTCTGTCCTGCGTCTTTCACCTTCTGTACCAGCATCATTTCTATCCACGTCCTGTAAACGTCCCCCTTTCCAAATCCAGTCTCTCTTTCCCCATCTAAATAGGGGGCTTAGCTTCCTTAGAGATACTGGGGCTGCGGAGGAAGCTTTATGCTCTCCTTACCATTCCCAAGCCTGAGCTGAGGCTGAAGCCATGAAGATACCAAACAAGACAATTTCCCCACAGCAGAGGAGGTCACCACCGCCTGCAGTCCAGGGTGGTGCCTCACAGGATGCGGGCTGGTGTTCAAGGCCAGAGGGCTTCCGGCTGTGTTTCTGACCACTGTCCTTACTTACCCTCACCTGGCTTCATTATCTCCACCCACTTTGCTATTTCCTTCTCTCACCCACTTACCTACATGGGTCTGTGGTTGTGGCGGTAATTATGTCCTTTGAAGTATGTCCACGGCATTTTGAACATATTAGGAGACAAAAAAGTACATTCAAGAAATAACTTGATACGGCTTTATGATAATTTTCTAAGTTCCTAAATCACCTTTCAAGTTTTGTCCCTGGTCTCTTTCAAACTTCCATGTTTCCTTCATTGCGTTTTCAACTTCCTCTCTTGTTACAACTACGGATCCCTCTGACTTCTCTTCACTCAGTTCCTTTAGAAGTTTCCGTATGTGCCAAATTTGTTCATCCTTTAAGTGTTTATTCTGTCGTGAATATCAAAGAGTTGTTAATTACCTCTGCTGAAGTATCTCCATTGTTTTCCCTCAAAACAGAATCACATGCTGAGGCTCGCAAAATAAGAAATAGTTAATGAAATAATTTATTCAATAATATCTCCAAAGAGCATGTGGAAGATGGAAGACTCAAAAGCAAATCCATCAATGCGGTAATCACTGAAGAGACAGTTTCATTTTAAAACCTGTGTTAATCATCTGTCAGTCTACTGCCCTCTCATTGGATCAATGAACATTGAAATTAGACTTCAGAGGTCACTTTCTTCAACTCCCACAAATATGTTTCTTTTCTAGGAAACATCATTCATTTATTCAATATTTATGGAGTCATCTACCATATGCCACGAGTCATCCAGACACTAGGCATATATCCGTGAACAAAACAGACAAAAGTACTGCTCTTGTGGGATTTACACTATTTTTTGCTTTTCTCACAAGTGACCTTAATTCTCTTCTTCTGGGGTGATGATTACTCACAATTCCAGTACTCCACACTTGAAACATGAACTCTGTTCTTCTTGTGAATATCCTGTCCATGTTTCCATGTTTCTTATTTAATCAACTTAGACTTTATTTTTGCCCTTGCTAGTTTATTATGTATATGTAGAGATATTTTATTGTGTGTGAACTTAATACATATTTCTTGTACTTTTCTTAGCCTTCCTTTAAGTTTTTTTTTTCTCCCTTTAAGTTTTAATACTCACTTCCCTGGGGTCTCTTCCTCAATTTCTTAGACCTAATAAAATGTATATACTTAAAATATTTCAATACTTCTTTTAAAAATTACTTATTTTCCTATAATTTAATATCCTCTTTACTATAGTTTTTTCAACATTGTATTTTATTTCTGATATTCATGGTTTTATTCTCTTTACCTTCATAGGCAATGGCACCCCACTCCAGTGTTCTTGCCTGGAAAATCCCAGGGACGGGGGAGCCTGGTGAGCTGCTGTCTATGGGGTCGCACAGAGTCGGACACGACTGAAGCGACTTAGCAGCAGCAGCAGCAACCTTCATAGATACTCTACTGTAAGAACATTTTCTTTCTCAAAATTGATTCTCTAAGCCAATACTTCTCAAACTTCAACATGTATACCCAGCACTTGGAGACCTTGTTAAAAATGAAGATTCTGATTAAGTTTGGTATGATGCCTGTAATTCTGCATTTCTTATACGTTCCAGGTGATGCCAAACCTGCTGGCCCACAACCCACATTTTGGGTAGCCAAGTTCTTTCTGATAATCTAAATATCTGTGATTTATTGATAGTGCTGCAGCCTACTAAAACTCAGGTCTTTAATATTGAATCCAACAAACTTTAAAGTTGATGGCTGAAAAATATGATTTGTTAAAATTGTTTAGCAAAATAGACACTAGTTTCAAAAGTCCTCAGAGAGGATTTTAATGTAAACTTAATGCTCTTTAGGTCATTCCACAGGCTGTATGACATGACTGTCATATCAGTGCTTTAGAATTTTAATTTAACACTTTGATAAACTGAACAAAAGCAACAGACAATTAACTTTATGATGCTCAGTATTGATAAATACAGCCCAAAACAAAAAGACAGACTGGACAGGCTTTGAGTGATTTTAAAAAAAAATAGAAATAAAGATTAAAAAGATATGATATTCAAAATCCTACAGTTTAACTTCTCTGATCTTTTGTTTGTAATATTCTAAAGTATCTAAATTCTGTCTCTGAAGAATTTTTAGTACCGAAGAATTCACGATATGATATATGTCTGAAAACTGAATTTCTTTCCTTCTAATTTTGTAAAATCTTGTAGAGAATGACATAAACTGGAGTGGTGGAGTAAGACTTCTGAAAATCCACTTCTCCATAAAGGCAATGAGAAAAAATTGGCAAAGATTGGCAAAATCAACTTTTCAGAACTCTGGAAATTAAAGGCTTTGCAGTAACTTCCAGGGAGTGTTTATTCAAGAAAAATGGTAGACTCTTAGTAAGAACAGTGAATTTTGTGGCATTTCAAACTTACCCTAAAAACCAACAGCCCCACAATTATGGTAAAACCCAGCAATCTAGCAGCCTGTGGCTGAGGATTAGGAAGAAAAGTAAGAGAGGCAGAACTCTTGCAAAGCCCAGTTCCTAAATAAGGGTCATTATTTGACTTATCTGGTAATTCCCTAGAAAACCCCACTGGCAACCCTTGTCTTTAATTGACCCGACTCAGAGCTTACCCAGTGCATTAACAGCCTTCTCCCAGACTGGTTTGTCAAAAACAATCAACAATTGTTGAACATTACAGCTCCGCGCGTGTGTGTGTGTGTGTGCGCGCGCACTCATTGTGTCCGACTCTTTGAAGCCCTGTGGACTGTAGCCAGCCAGGCTCCTCTGTCCATGGAATTTTCCAGACAGGAATACTGGAGTAGGTTGCCATTTCTTCCTCCAGGGGCTCTTCCTGACCCAGGGACTGAACCCACATCTCTTGCGTCTCCTGCACTGGCAGGCGGATTCTTTACCACTGTGCCCCCTGGGAAGCCCACAGCTCCCTGAGGTGTTAATAAAAGTTGAGGTAAACAACAAGCTGACCAAAAAAAAAAACTTCAGAAGAAAACTGGAGATTAGATGTCCATAGGGAGTTTTGAAAGCTCTTATGTATTCCTAAGAATCTAAAAGGCCACATGCATGTATAGGGCATAGATACATAAATTTAATAACATCTATATTAAACTTCCCAAATTCTGTATGAATTTCAAATAGAAAAGAAATGTGTCTGACACTGTTACAAAATTCACTATTTTGAGTGATATACTGAAATAAATGTGTCTGACACTGTTACAAAATTCACTATTTTGAGTGATATACTGAAATAAAATTTAAATATATCCACCAATATGCTTTAAAAAAGACATTTATCTTATGAGGTAAATTTATTATTTGAGGTAAGACTAATTATCATATTATAAAATAGAAGAAAGGAGATTTAGTATCTAAGCTACAAAGGAAGGATTATTTTTGTTTTGTTACAAGGCCATCTCATGGCCTTTTAAAAACTTTTTTAGACTCACAAGAACAAGAATAGAAGTTTCCAGAACAGGACATGCAATTCCCACCTACTGTCCACCCAGCTTTCCCAAATGACAACACCTTATCTAATGAAAGCACAGTATCAAAACCAGGAAATCAACATTGCTACAATGTTATTAATTGAACTAGATATTTTATTTCTATTTCACCAGTTTTTACATTTTCTTCTTTTTAGTGTATGGTTGTGATATTGTCATTTACAAGAAATATATGTATGTATATCTTTGGTCACTCAGGTGACTAAAATGTATTTCTTTGTTGTTCAGTCACTAAGTTGTGTCCAACCCTTTGCGATCCCAAGGACTGCACACGCCAGGCTCCCCTGTCTTTCACTGTCTCCTGAAGTTTACTCAAACTCGTGTCCATTGAGTCAGTGATGCCATCTAACCTTCTCATCCCCTGTTGTCCCGTTTCTCCTCCTGCCTTCAATCTTTCCCAGCATCGGTGTCTTTCCCAATGAGTCAGCTCTGCGCATTAGGTGGCCAAAGTATTGGAGCTTCAGCATCAGTCCTTCCAATGAATATTCAGGGTTGATCTCCCTTAGGATTGACTGGTTTGATCTCCTTGCAGTCCAAGGGACTCTCAAGAGTCTTCTCCAACACCACAATTTGAAAGCATCAATTCCTTGGCACTCAGCCTTCTTTATGGTCCAGCTCTCACATCCGTACATGACTCCTGGAAAAACCATAGCTTTGACTAGATGGACCTTTCTCGCAAAGTGATGTCTCTGCTTTTTAATACACTGTCTAGGTTTGTCATAGCTTCCCTTCCAAAGAGCATAAATATATATGATATGTTTATGATATAAATATATATATAGATATATAAATATATATCTGTATTTCTTAGATATATTCTTATTTTTTTTTTAATGATTTTCACCCATAGTTCCTGGCCCACAGTGCCCAAAACCCATGGAATTTTCTGCCATCACAATTGGGTTTATGTTAATGAAAGTGACTTTTGAATCTGGGAGAGAGAGAGAGGGAGGGCCTGATTGCCAGGAGAACCGATCAAGTTATTAGAGGATTGCAGTCTCTCGCGTTGATTTCCAGGGACAGGAGAGGGACTTGAGGTGGAATCAACCGCTACTGGCCAGTGATTTAGTCAGTCACGATTATGCAATGAAGCCTCCATTAAAACCTGAAAAAGGAGCGTCATGTGCTGCTCCGCCGGGCCCCGAGCTCCACAAGGGCAGAAGCTCCTTTGTTTGGTACTTTGCTTTCTAGGGGCTTCCCTGGTGGTCAGCTGGTAAAGAATCCACCTGCAATGTCGGAGACCTGCGTTTGATCCCTGGGTTGGAAAGATCCCCTGGAGGAGGGAACAGCTACCCATTCCAGTATTCTGGCCTGGAGAATTCCATGGGCTATTTTCATGGGGTCACAAAGAGTCGGACACGACTGAGCGACTTTCACTTTCAGTTTGCTTTCTGTATCTCTTCATCTGACTGTCGATTCATAGCCTTTAATACTCTTTTTAAGATCCAGTGAGTAAATGGGTTTTCCTGGTTCTGTGAGCCATCCTAGCAAGTTAATTGAACCTAAGGAGGATGGGGTTGTGAGAGCCTCTGATTTATAGCCAGTCAACCAGAAGTGCAAGTAACAGCCTGGACTGGTAACTGGCGTCTGAAGTAGAGGGTGGTCTTGTGGGACTGAGCCCTTTACCTGTGGAATCTGATTCTATCTCCAGGTAGGTAAGTGTCAGAATTGAGGTGAACTCTCACACACCCTGCCAGAGTCTGAGAATCGCTTGTTGGTGAGGGGATGCCTCCACACATACAGGTTGGAAGTGGGTCAGAAACCCTTTCAATAGGATTATAAATTCTGTCACATATGCATATGAGATATCACCACAAAGATGGCATTTGAAGCCATGATGTTAAATAAGATGATCCACAGAGAGCTGAAAGAGTAGGTTTAAGATCAGAACCTTGATAAATACTCTAATTAAAGGGTGGGGATAAATACTCTAATTTAAGGGTACTTTCTTTTCCTATTCAAGGGGAAAAAAACAATGAAAAAAATGATCAGAGAAGTAGAAGGAAATTTAAGAAAGAGTGACGTCCTGGAGCCCAAAGGAAAAAGAGTTTCAAGTTGCCAGGAGTGACTGCTGGAGGAGTGAGGTGTAAGGTAAGGCCTCAAAGAGTACATTGGACCTGGCTAATTGGTCATTACAACTTTTGCTAGAATGGTTGCAGGGGAACAGTAGGCGTGGAAGTATGTACTGGGAAGTAAGGGCGTGGGCACAGTGAGCTGTGAGATGTCTAGTGCTGTAAGCAGCAATGAATGCAATCAGAGAAAGAGAGAAAGATAGGGACAATCATCTAAAGAAAGCTAAACGCATAGGAAGAAACGATGAAAGAAGAGGGCATAACTTTTCCGATTTGGACATTTCCGATGTGGACATAAGTGGAGAGAAAAATATATCTTGCTAACGAGTCATGTTAAACTTAGCAATTTAAATATCTGTGACCTCAAAATTTTTCCTGCCACTGGTATTTGTGGGTCAACCCAACAAATATTTATTGAACACCTACTCATGCTGGGCCCTTTGGAGAAACAAAGATAAGATTTGATTGCTGCTACCTAAAGGGCTTTCAATTAAATAACGGAGAAATATTTTTACGTAACATCCCAGCTAAGATGGGGGTAATGAAGAGGAGCTAGCCAAGAGAAGAGCATTCTGGGAAGAGGAAACAGCCTCTTTGTTGTAAAGGTACCACAGTGAGAAAAAGATTGGGCTTCATAATATTTAAAAGAAGCAGGGGTAAGCAAAGGCTGGGATAGCTGCAGATGAATTGGAGACGTGAGTAGAGGTCAAATTTTGAAGGACCTGGAAGGCTTTAGGAAGATCCATGGATTTTGTTTTCTGTGCAGCAGGAAGCCACTGTGGAATTTTAAGCACTGAAAGGTTTACCATATTCCAAGGGTCACTCTGCTTGCCCTGTGGAAAATGTACTGGTGAGGGGAAGGATGGGTAAGAGATGATGCTGGCTTAAACTGTGGCAACAGCAGCGTACATGGAAAGAAATAGATAAATACAGTCGAGCTAGTCTGTCTTCCTATGCTCCTCACTGCTGGGTCCACTAATGACTCCAAGAGCCGACTTAGACCTATCATGGTCTTGAGCTAATCCTCCTGGAAACAAGAACATTGTCTCTGGCTCCAGTTGATGGGTTATGGGAAAGCGGTTCCTCAGTCCTGATCTATCGTCCTTTCCACAACCAATCGGAAGTCCCAGAGCCAGCCGGGGTTCCAGCGCTGACCACGCGGGGGCGTGCATCGGCCTCCTGGTGGCAACGCACTCTCCTGCGCCCAGGGACCTCTCTTAAGTGGGACCTGCCTCCAGGTGCCGAGCCAGACTTCCCCTTCCACTGTCATCCATCGGCCTCAGTTTCTTAGTTCCTGCTGTAAGTACCAGTCTTTCAGAATCACAACAACGTCAGGGTTGTCTTGCCCAGCACGTATTTGCTGAACAAATGGACAAATTTGCCCCATTGAGGAAGACAGGAATCCTTGTTTCCCAAGGGGGAAACTGAGGCTTACACCAGTTTTGGCCAAGATGACATTAGCAGTAAGCTGTACAGTCAGGATGCAAAAATTCAGGCCTCTGACTCAAATTTTATTAAAATTTGTAGACACAGTTTTCTGTAGACGAAAGTCAAATAAAATAGAGGTGGAAGTTTTGGGGTCCATATAAAGAGAATGTTTTAATAGGGGACACTCTCAGTATTTCCTCATGGGCTCTGTATTTTAAATTTCTTTATCTGTTTTCTTGTAGATTTTCTAAATAAGAAATTAAAAGATAAGTGGGGTTGCAGAGTTTTACATTTTTAAACATAAGATTCAGTGTCCTCATGATCTAAATAACACAGTTTAAGGTGACTTCCTTTGACATTATAATTAATAAATAAAAACAGCAGTACCCTCTTGCCTCCCATGTACAAAAATACATTTAAATATATTGTAAATTAATCAGCTCTAAGCACTAAAGAAGATAATTTCCTAGAATTTATTTCATTGTAACTCAAAAAATTTTAAAGCATTTGCATAAATGTTTAATGATTAGGTATTGGCTTTATATTTTATACTCACTCTTTCATGATACTTTGGATTCTTTTCTCTAAATTTCTTTCTTCGAGCCATAAATCGTTCTACTGCATTTTCCTTTATTTGACAGCTAGTAACAGAAATAATGTGTTACAATTATTTCCTTTAGGAAAAATTAATGAAAGAAAATTGTAAAATTATACTATTTGGATTGAAATAAAGTATTGAATATACTATAAAACCCATTTAGGGATAAGAATCTTTACTGATGCTGTGTTTCTGAGTATATTTTACTCACTAAAGTATATATTAGAGAGATAACTTCAAGTTTGAAAAAATATCAACCCCCATTTTTATTTCATAGTCATAACTTTTATACTTTTTCATTATCTATAAATAATTCAGCATAAAAAGAACCTAGGAAAGGGCATACAGAAAACATGCTTCCTGGAAATCCAAAAACATTCAGACAAAAATGACAAGACAAAGACTTTACAAGGGCAAGCACAGCTTCTTGAAACAGTAGGGTAAACCAGGCTGATCCCTTGGTTCAAGTTCATTAGTATACCATCTCGTCTACAAATAGTGAAAAGTTTCTTTCTTGACACAAGTACATTTCTTTAACACAAAACAAGTATTTGCTGAATGTCTGTTAGGTATAAAATATAGAAAGCATGGGAAGACTCTGGTACAGGCAGTTTGATATCTATTTGAAGAGTTAAGGGTATCTCTGTTACCTCACAAATCTTTCCACTTTAAATCTGAGACCAAAATAAAGGAACAGAACTAGCTCCATGTAAACCCTTGCCTCTATTAAATATATATTTATAGAGAGAGCACCTCTGTGGTGTAGTGAACAGAGGAGTATTTGCAGAATGAGAAACTCTGCTTTTCAATCTTGTCTCTTCCACTTCTTACCCACATGACCTCAACAAGTCACTTCTCTGAACTCAGTTTCCAAGCTGTCAAGAGAGAGATAACAACACCCACCCAGCTCTATGTATTTTATAAAGATGAAAATAAGATCATACATGCATGTTTCTAGCATAAAGTAAGTGCTCAGTAAATTTCAGGTGAATTTCAATCTTATGTCCTCAGTCCTTCCCCTGGAATATCATTTGTATTTATGATATTGTAAACTTAGTAGAGATAAAAACAAAGCTTTCTTTCCAAATGAAGAGAAAAAAAAAACATTTTAAAAATGAGCAAATCCTCTAGGCTTTGCCTTGTGTTGCTTCTGCAGGGAGCAGTTCCAGGAGGTCTGAATGGCATCAGCAAGCCTGGGGGTGGGGTGGATTCTAGGTTGCCCTAAAGGTTTGGCTGCTTCAACGGCCCCCTTGTGGAGCATTTGGTAGTTGCAGGTTTAACTTCACCTAGCCTCTCCTGGGAATTCAGTTCAGCCTCCTCAGGCCTCAGAGATGGATTTATCAGGAAGCAGGGCTTCCCTGGTGGCTCAGAGGGTCAAGAATCCGCCTGCAATTGCACGAAACCTGGGTTTGATCCCTGGGTCGGGAAGATCCCAGCTACCCACTCCAGTATTCTGGCCTGGAGGGTTCCAGGGACAGAGGAGCCTGGTGTGGGCTACCGTCCATGGGGTCACAGAGAGACTCTCATGACTGAGAGACTAACATTTTCACTTTCAGATGAAGCTGAACCTCAGAGCTCCCTTCCATTAGCCACTGTGGGAATTCAAGCCTCCCTGTTCTCTGAGCACTTCTTCCTGTTCACATCTCCCTTATCTACTCAGTGCCCTAGTAGCCCACATCACACTAAATGCTGAAGCAAGTGGGAAAATAAACCAACGCGGTTTATCCTGAGCACTTAATATACACTGAAGTGCTTTGAAAAGGCTATCGCACTGTTTTAAAGCACAGTGATATGAAATTAACACTAATGCAATGCGTCTGTTACCTCGTCCCTTCCCTCCTCATTAAAATGTTAGTTGATGGAAGGAATTTTCCCATATTGAGGTATGAGGAAGTCATCCTGGCTTATTCCTGATTTGGCTTGAACTTTATGCTGACTAGAACAACCTGTGGCCTGTCAAACATCTATTGTTCATTTGCTTTAACCGTGACAGAAAAGAATGCATTTAAAGATCAAAATGGAGTAACTGTGGTTCAGGCATTCAAAATGGAGCTGGGTGGCCATTGTGGATGTGGTTTCAAACACATTTCTGTATCACTGAGAACTTTGTTTTGAACTGTATCAAAGATGCCACCAGCCATTTTCAAAATAATGTTTTTGCCAGGGGCTGCCAGGTGCAATTTTATGGCCTCAAAGTCTCCCTGGTAACTGTGTGACCATTTTGGATCCCAACCAATCCTTGCTTAACGTACACCCTTACTTCTCACCAATTCCAATCCTAATTCTTGACAAACAACATGTAACTGTGGTTTTAGCCTGTATGTTGCTATTGTTGTTAAGTCACTAATTCGTGTCTGACTCGGGCCGATGGACTGTAGCTCACTGGACTCCTCTGTCCCTGGGATTTTCCAGGCAAGAATCCTGGAGTGGGTTGCCTTTTCCTTCTCCGGTGGATCTTCCCAACCCAGGGATCGAATCTGCATCTTCTGCATTGACAGGTGGATTCTCTACCATTGAGGGACCAAGGAAGCCCTTTTGCCTACATAAGCCTCCCTATTTTGCAGTCAGTGGAACACAATTCAACTGCTTCTTGAATCTGTGTCTCCTGGCCTACAGTCCTCAGTTTGGCTTGAATAAAACTCTTTCCTATTTTTATTATAGGTTGTTTATTGAGTATTAACATAGTAATGTGTCAACTTCCTCCCTCCATGCAATTTTGTTAAAAATTCTTAGAAGGAACACAAATTTGGGTTCCAAAAAAGAATCTATACTCTTACTTATTATACCTTTAAAACCCATAACTATATCTGTACCTATTGCTATACCTATGTCCAAACTCATTGTAGAAAACTGGGTTGGTGGGTGGGGGGAATAAATATAAAGGAAAAAATAAAAACCACCATTACCTAGAGATTTAACATTATGCAATAAGATATTTTGGTAAAGGGAAGAGAGAGGAAGACCACATTCACATAACTTTAATATAGTACATTGTTAGAACTGTTCTCTTTTATTATGATTTATTGTTAACCTCTTACTGTGCCTAATTTAGGAATTAAACTCTATCATAGGTATATATGTGAAGAAAAGACATAGTATATAAAGGATTCAGTACTATCTATGATTTCAGGCATCCCTTGGGAGTCTTGGAACAAATTCCCTGAGGAAAAAGGGTGACTAAGACATGATCACTCTGCAGATTCAACACTGGCAGTCTCAGTTCTTCACCAAAAACCACAGAAGTCTACGGCCTTATTTTCTTGAGAGAGATAACGAAAAGTTCAGTTGTTCAGGAGTCCTGGATGACCGGCCCTGTGCCCTGAGCACAGAGGCTGAGGTTGTATAAGAGAAACGTAAGATGCTGCTGGGGACCCTTGGACAATCCTTCCTCAGATGGTGAGGGGGGCGTCTTGACTATTCATCATGTGACAAAAGTCCCATCACCTAGGACCTCAAGGAGCAGCTGCAATGTCGCCAGAAGGGCGCAGGAAGGCCCAGGCTGTTCCAGTCCATGAGGCTGTTTATTTAATTTCAACAAAGAAAGAGAATGGAAAGCATGGGAATGCTCAGCTTACATCTTGTAGTCGATCATGAGAATTTTAAAATGTTCGCCTCTTTGGAAACCTCTGTTGAAGAGGAGAAAGACTGGCCTCTGGCTGACCCAGAGGACAGAGGAGCTGTAGCTGGATGCCATTCCTGTGGGCCGTGGGGAAAAGGTGGGAGGCCAGAGTGCAGTCACGGAGCTGGGCTTCCTGCCCACCTGCAGAAGCCACGACGCGCCAAGTCTTCAGTCATGCTGAGAAACGAGCGCAGGGGGAATCCGGTGGTCGCTTGGTGTTACCTCCAGTGAAATAAAAGGGAACTTGGTGAAAAGTCGCTTCCCGTGGGTGCTTTCGGTGTTCTGACCCTCTCACTCACTGTCTTCTGAAAAGAACATACAGACTGGGAGTCTCGCAAGAAGGACATTGGATTTTCCCTGAATGTCGTTGAGAACGATTCTCTTAGAGACGTGGTCCCCAGCATTGCTCCCCAGTTTCAACCGTGGCCCCCTCCAATAGACGGCCTCCTACTCCCAAGACCCACGCGTCCCCGGGGTCTGCCTATCTGCCCGCCCTTGCCCCCTCCAGCTCCCTCTGCCTGCTCTCCGTTCCTGGACTGCGACACACCCTTCCTCACCCGGCTCTTTCCCATCAGCCTTGCCGCCCATCACTCTGGCTCCGTAGCATCTGCGCCTCCTCTTTCCGAGGCCAGCTCACACATGGCCCCGTCAGACGAGCTCTTCCTGATCCCTGCGGCGGAAACGACCGTGCACGCACGCGCTGAGTCGGTCCGGTTCTTCAGTTACGCTGTCACGGAGCACCCTACACTGTTCTTCTGTAGGATCTAACTTAGAGGTATGCAGTTTTTCAAAAAAGACCAGGCTGTGTTTTCAATGTCCATCTCCCGTGCTTCGTTAGGAATGGGCCGTGTGGGCCTGTTCACTCTTGTCCTCTAGAGATCAGGACTTGCCTGTATGTATTGGGCAAACATTCAAATACTTGCTCAATAGGCATGAAGTGCCTTCTTATTTGAAAAAAAAAAAAATGACATGTATTCATTCATTTCCTAAGTGTTACACATTAAAACACCTCCCCGGGCCCCAAACTTGAAGTTCAAAAGCTATCAAGGGGCTTACTCTCCACAGTGGGATAAAACATAAACATACGACAGGTATCACCTCTAGTCTTGTCTCCAGCTTCTGGGATAGAAATAGTAAGATATTCTTATTAAAGTGAAAGTGAAAGTCGCTCAGTCATGTCCGACTCTTTGCAACCCCATGGACTATACAGTCCATGGAATTCTCCAGGCAAGGACACTGGAGTGGGGAGCCTTTCCCTTCTCCAGGGGATCTTCCCAATCCAGGGATCGAACCCAGGTCTCCTGCATTGCAGGCAGATTCTTTACCAGCTGAGCCACCAGGGAAGCCCATTCTTATTAGAAATAATTATAAATCATTTGGGTTTGATTTGTAGGCATTTGAGGACAATGCAAATTGGAATGTCTAGAAATAAAAAGTTAAATGAAGAAGAGAAGTGTGTGTACATTTACTCTTTTGTAAAGGTACACTAACTGAGCTGTGCTCTATTTGAAAAGATAAGCCAGCAAGTTGCTGTGTATTTGAGGGAGAGTGACCAATAATTCAATGGAGTGGGCGAGGGAGCCAAAACCCATTCACGAATACTGTTTCATAGCTTGGCCTATGTTACTGCCAACGTACCAAAACCTAAAGAAAATAGGCACGTAGCATGAGAGTGAAATTATACCTCCAATCCAGCTTCCTCAACAGCTCTGGAGCGCTTCATTTTCTGCTGGACTTATATGAGTGTTAGAAGTGCTCGCCACTGATGTAAGAAAATTTTTGGATTTCAAAATCTAAACTTACTGATAGTCTAGAAGTGCCTCACTGATAGGCAATTTGACTTCCTTTGGCGGCCCATCTTGAGTATCCTTTTTAATTGTTTTCGCCGTGGTTTCCATTGTGTTGCTTAGCTAGTAAGAAGAATACCTGTTTGAAAAAAGAGACACAGGAAAAATAAATTCTTTGTTCCTTTACTTGTGTTTATTAGATAAAGCACTACTGGGACTTAACTTAAAACTGGTTCTTCCATCCAGATTGCCCCCGTGTCCCCAGAGCTGACATCATCCATGATGCTGGGTCATCAGGAATCAGTTGGATTCTTGAGTCGGCTGAGTTCCATGCTTAGAGCAGGTCCAGACCAGGACCCCAGACTTTCTGAGACTCACTCTCTTACACGATCCATCAACAACTGTTGCCCCTATCGAGCTCCTTTAAGAGCAAGGACTTAACTTTTTCAATCATTTCCTGTCTCCACAGTGTTTGGCAGAGTGCCCTGCCTATAACAGCAGCTCAATAGATGTCTTTTAGTTATTAAAAATTAAGACAAAACAAAAGCACAACCTTCTGTGAAGACCAGAAAACTAGGCTCTAAAAGAGTTAGAACTGGGATCCAAAGAAATTAGGTTTGACCAGGGTTGCTATAAAGAGCAAATATAAGGACTTTAATAAAAGTGTTTTTTAAATGGTTAAGAGGTTTACAAATGCAAAATAATGAGAATGATAAAAATAATGTATTATCATTACCAGTGACTGTTTATTAGCTATTAATTGCTTTTGTATCTTATAATAACAAACATCAAAAATAATATTTTTTAAAAGGGAAAATCAGACCCACTGTTTTTAGTTTTTATGGTAAAGAGGAACACTTTGAGGATTTGGTATGACTACTAATTTGTACTAACTAATGAGTACTTTTAAGATCATAGTTTTTCTTGACAGATTTTTATCTTTGGATTTTTATTAATGTATATTGTCACTCTGCTTATTAACTTATATGCAGAGTAAATCATGTGAAATATTGGGCTGGATGACTCACAAGCTGGAATCAAAATTCTGGGAGAAATAACAGCAATCTCAGACATGAAAATGATACCCCTTTAATAGTAGAAAGTGAAGAGGAATTAAAGAGCCTCTTGATGAAGGTGAAAGAGGAGAGTGGAAAAGCCAGCTTAAAACTCAACATTCAAAAAACTAAGATCAAGGCATCTGGTCCCAGCACTTCATGGCAAATAGAGGGGAAAACAATGGAAACAGTGACAGACTTTATTTTCTTGAGCTCCAAAATCACTGTGGATGGTGACTGTGGCCATGAAATTAAAAGATGCTTGCTCCTTGGAAGAAAATCTATGACAGACCTAGACAATGCATTAAAAAGCAGAGATATCACTTTACCGACAAAGGTCCATATAGTCAAAGCTATGGTTTTTCCAGTAGTCATGTATGAATGTGAGAGTTGGATTATAAAGAAGGCTGAGCACCAAAGAATTGATGCTTCTGAACCGTGGTGTTGGAGAAGACTCTTGAGAGTCCCTTGGACTGCAAGGAGATCCAACCAGTCCATCCTAAAGGAGATCAATCCTGGGTGTTCGCTGGAAGGACTGATGCTGAAGCTAAAGCTCCAGTACTTTGGCCACCCGATGCAAAGAGCTGACTCATTTGAAAAGACCCTGATGGTGGGAAAGATTGAGGGTGGGAGAAGAAAGGGATGACAGAGGACAAGATGGTTGGATGGCATCACCGACTCAATGGACATGCATTTGAGCAAACATAAGGAGATGATGAAGGACAGGGAAGCCTGGCGTGCTGCAGTTCATGGGGTTGCAGAGTTGGATATGACTTGGCAGCTGAACAACAACAACAGATCTCAAGAAGGTAAGTACCTAACTTGCATTCAATGTATTACTAGGTGGGTGTGGTAGGAAAAACATAACCTTTGTAGTTATTTGTTAAAATGGCTAGAAACTCTATGAGCGTGGGGATGATGTAATTCTTGTACATTACTGTATTTCCCCTCCTAGCACAGTAGATGCAGTCCTTGTCAAATGAACAATTAGATGGATGAATCAGGTAGATATATTTTAATCCTAGATCTACCACCTACTATCTAGGTGACCTTGAGTAGGCTACTGAATCTTTTTGAGCTTCAGTTCCATCATCTGTAAAGTGAGAACAAAATTCTTATTTTAAACACTGGTAAGGATGAAATGGGTTAATATTTAAAGCACCTGGCATAGTGTCTGCCATATAGAAAGAATTTAGTAAGTATTTTTGCCCCTTTAATTATGGCTCCAGAAGCATAATCTTGTAAATTTTAGGTAAGTAAAGCAGAATGTCTGCCTGCTGCCAAGTATGAGGCTAGGTGTAAAGATGAATCCATGTGGTTTTTGGCCATTAGCTTTCATCACTGATTTGGATCACTGAGTAGGCAATCTACATAAGTCATTCAGATCCACAACGGAAAAACTCCCTGAAATAAAAACATACTTTCCCCCTGCAGACTTGCTGTTTGCATAACCAGACCTCTAGCGAGGTTCAGTCTTGGCGCCTAAGACTTTTCTAGCCAAGTGTGTTCATCTCTGTATCCTAATAGATTCTAGTATTTGTGAATGCAAATATACTACAATACTTTTTAACTGAAAACCACAAAGGTGACATATCAAAAAGATTCATTAAGACAGGTTAATATGTTGTGTTATCTTCTCAGATGTGCAAGTATTGAGAATGATTCCATAAGCCTCATACTGTCACAGTTCACAGAAACTTATCACTAGGAAAAAAATTGCTATCTTTTGTTTCAGAAAAACTGAATTTTTATATTACTTTCTATTTTAAAATTAGGATTTTTAACTTAACAGTTACACAAAACCATAGCATGCTGTCAAGGGTTTCATTTTACAAGAACTTAGTGTTTAACAAAAACTTTTACTATAAAATATTTAAAAGCTGAAACAAATAACATTAATCTCTAACTTTCTTTCTGAGTCATATGGAAGAGATCAAGTGTTATGGTTCCCACCTGTGGTAACCATCTGGTGCTGGAGGAAAAATGACCTCATTTTGCTTAATTACTTCAGTTACCTGGCCCTTATGTTTCCAACTCTCTGACCAGTATACAATTAGTTACCTAACTGCAGCTCAAGGCAAAAGATTTTAATAAAATATGAGTGAAAATGTGGATCCATTAAGCATAAATGGTTTGTGCATAAACTATATTAAGATTCATTGTTTCACATACTTTACAGAAAATTAGCAAGCCATTTGGGTCACCAGCTTAACAGCTGCCTTTTTGCAGTGAGCCAATGACATTCTGTCAAAATGTACATTTGCATTAGATAATATCCTACAAACAATGGGGATTTTAATAAACATTGACAAGGATTTACAGTTCCTGACCACCTAGAAGATTCCTATCTCAGGAAAAGGTGAGAATTCTAGAAAAAATAGCTACAAAATAACTATCTTCCAAGATTTCACTTAAAATAATTCCTGACAAATCAACACGTGCGCGGATTTGTCAGTAACTTCAAACGTCTATTTAGTGCCTGTTCATGTGTGGCAATTTTTCTGGCCTGTAGTTATAAAATAGAGGTGAGACCTCTGCTTAGACTGATAGGAAGAAAAAAGCATATTCCAATAGAACTTAAAAAGAAAAAGAAAGAGAGAGAGCAACTCTAAAAGGCTTTAGAAAACCATGCAAGTAATAAATGCTAGAGATACACTTCCCCAGGGCATGATCTTCTGTGCCTGTTTTTCCTCTCCCAGCTCTGTTTGGGCATCAATAACATACAGTACGGATGGCGCTAGTGGAAAGAACCCGCCTGCCAGTTCAGGAGATGTAAGAGACACCAGTTCGATCAGTGGGTCAGGAAGAGGAAATGAGAACCCATTGCAGTATTCTTGCCTGGAAATTTCATGGAAACAGGAGCCTTGTGGGCCACAGTCTGTGGGGTCACAGAGGAGGACATGAATAAGTGCACGCATATGCACACCCACACACACATACACACACTCAGTGAGGGCAGGTGAGGAGGCTGGGTTTGAAGGACTTGGGTATCCAGCATTTTCAGAGACTATTCCATAATCATTTTCTATTAGGAAATGTTTCAAAAAGTATTCCCCAAATGCTTTTCAGTGAAAAGTAAGAAGTCTATTTAGTAAAAAGCAATATATAATAAGCCATCTTCTTCAAATATCCTCTCATCCCAGAATGCTTTGACTCTGCAAAGTGTGTTAGCCACTCAGTCATGTCCAACTCTTTGCGACCCCATGGACTGTAGCCCACCAGGCTCCTCTGTTCATGGGATTCTCCAGGCAGGAATACTGGAGTTGGTAGCCATTCTCTTCTCCAGGGAATCTTCCTGACCCAGGGATCAAACCCAGGTCTCCTGCATTGCAGGTGGATTCTTTACCTTCTGCATTATCCCCCAAACAAGGAGTCTGCCCTTTCCCGCACAGTCTCAGGGTCCTGGCTCAATACCTAGAAAGTTCCTCATGACTTTGTGGAGCCATGAATATTCAGACACTTCCTAATGACTTTCATAGTTCTATGGAGGCCGGGAGGGATGGCAGTTCTACCCTAATGCCTTTCTAGACATATGAAGTGGATCCTGATGCTTGCTAGCTAGTATTTCATATATAGCTTGAAATGGTGGATATTTACTTAATAGCGTTAGTAATGATAAAAGTTCTGAATAAGATTCCATCAGGGGTTGAGAGCACGATTTAGTAAAAAGATCTCTCTATGAGTATTTAAAGTCTTGAAGTCTAGACATGGCTTTTGCCATTAACAAGCTATAAAATTATGTCAGTCTAGCAAGAGCTGTAATAATGTGGTACTTCCAAAAGCCTTTGTTAAGGAACAATCTGACATCTAACCATTAAGGCACTCATCTTCAACAAAATATAACTCCTCAAATACTGAACAGTAACTACTTCAGCAACTCATTTTGGGAATTCAGAAACAGATACTAGCATACAGGTCACCATCTTCCGGGGGCACAAACTGGATGTTCAGTAATTATCTGATTCAAATGCCCGACTGGCAAATAATGCACACTTCCTTTCCTGATGGTTCTATTTATTGGCTCATAATATTGTATATACCCTGAATTTGGAAAGT